AGTTTTGATTTTGAGCAGCAAATTTGAAGTTACATATTGGTGCTCACCAGGAATGCATAAGCAAAATTGCACAAATTTTCACTTGAAAGAATAGTGAAAAATCTTGGGATTTTTTTCTGTTAAAGGTTCAAATATTGTGTAAATTGAATACACTTCATCTTCAGCATGTTAAGTGCCACTTTTGTAAGTGGCCCCGCCCCTGTCTCGGCCACGCCCCCGTCCCGGCCACGCCCCCGTCCCGGCCACGCCCCTTTCCGCTTTTTTTCATCACTAGCCACTCTCATCCCTGGATTTGAGAGTTTGAAAGGTTGCTTGTGTATGTGTGCCATGAGATGGGTTGGTTTACCCCGCCTGTTACCCGGAGACAGCTGGGACAGGCTTCAGCACACCTGCGACCCTCATGAGGATAAGCGGTTCAAATAATGGATGGCTAGATGGATGATTTGAAGAGTCTTGTTTTTTGAAAATAAATTCCTTGTTTGACAACATCCAACAGTTTTGCCTCCCTGCACTTGGGCCCTAAGTCCTTCATGCTCCACGTTTTTTTTTTTTTTTTTTCCTGTCGGAAATTTGTTCTGTCATCAGCAATTATTGCCTAAGTGTTCTGTTGCTCTTGCAAACATCTTCTGGCGCAGATGCTGTTTCATTTACGTTGTTGGAGCAGACATTTGGCCATATTTATGACCATCTGAAACATCTGGATGCTATGTGTAGGAATTAGAAATGTTTTTGTTCAGGTCAGTGTCCAAAGACACAATACTTACTGTAGTTGATATCTTCATGATGATCCACATAAGGAAACAAAAAATAAAACAGCCGCAGCGATGTATTGAACTAACTGTAATTGATCATGAATGTAGCATCAATTTTATTTAGATTTCATATGAGATGTGTCAGAAAGGATCCCGTACAGATGTTTTTGCTGCTTTTTTAAAATTTTATTTCACTTTTTTGGATGTAATTTTACTTTGGAACTTGTGTGTTTTTGAAAGGCATTCCCCATCTGGTTTTATTTATGCCAACTTCATTTTATTTTGGACTGTGTTTTAAATTAATTGACCAAAACTAGCTTTAAGTTCCCATCCATATAAAAGTCATTTAGGAAATCACTTTTTTTTTCGGGGAGTTTGTGTCATGTGCTCAAAACAAAGATGCTAATTAAACAATGAAGAGATCTAAGTTCTGCAATCGTTTGAATGTTGAAGGAAACCGGAGGCCCTGGGGAAAACCCACACAGGAAGGCTGGAGCCAGAATCAAACCCTGCACCTCTGCACTGTGAGGCGGACGTGCTAACCAGTCGCTCACCGTGCTGCCCTGAATTCAAATTCAGATTGTACAATTCAGATTCAGTTGTTCAATGCATACAAGTTTGGCGATTTAAATCGAAATATACATAATTCAGATTCGATTTACGGTTGCACATATTTATATTTCAGTCCATAGCACATCCGCCTATAGCTCAAAGACAGCTGTGATGGGCTAAAGCAAGCCCGCAACCCTAGTGAGGATGAAAATGGATGGATGGATGATTTTACAAACTTGAAAAGATGCAACATACCATTTAGGGTAACAAATGCAGTGAGATTTTAATTACCACTTTTTGGTAAGGTGCAAATTAACCATTACTGGTATTAAGTACTGAGGTTAGAGCTTCAGCATGACTTGGAAGAGCAATAAAAATATCACAGTTCATCCTGCCATATTTTCAAGAAGTCTCCATCTGTATATTGTACTACCGTACATTGACTCTGGGTTTCTTGGCAACATTTCATCCTTCAAAAACTGTCATTGATCATTTATTCTCAGCAGAACGTCCTTACATAAAAAGTGAAGACAATCTGCATTCCTCTTGTGATACTTTTAGGCTGTAAACTAGATACTCGTGTCAAATGTGACTTTTTGGAACTTTTTTTTTTTTTTAGAGCGAGATACTAAGCCTGGAAGATATGGACGCCCAGGGACCAAAACCCACGTTGGTTCTGGCAAAAAGATGGTGCAGGATGGTGAGTTTGAGAAATTAACATCATATGATTTTTCCGTACATTTCATGGACATCCTGTCAACAGTCAAGTATTCATACACACTGCTGTATGATCCCTGAATTATTACCAATAAACACCATAAACCACTGTTTAATACATCAATTAATTAGGCATGAAGCTTTGATTGAAAGCCAATGATGCTCCGCGGCAGGATTTAAGACTTTATTTACAATGAGCTTCAACTGTTTTGCGTCGTTATTTCTGTCCCCATAAAACTGTGGGCGTAATCCAGCCATATTTGGTGCAACTGCTTTTTGTTCTCTGACTCAGGTAGTGTTCGGATATGTCAGTATGGAATGGGAAGATAACCAAGCACGCAGTTTGTCATCTCCTGCAGTTAGAAGCATGGCTAATGCTCACAAAATTATCCAAGTCATACCCTTCAAGAACATGGATCTATTTCCAGTTTTAGCTGTAGCACTAACCTCATTACAGTCGGAAAACATTACATGTCTCATAGAAATTCAAGGCGGAGAGGCGGTAGACACCTAAGGTAAATCTCCCCAGTGGGCCACCTATCAGTTCTGATGTTTGTGATTTTGGAGAATTGGACAACCTCAATGTCGCGGGCTGTCTTCATCTCAAGTATTGTGCAATTTCACATGACACACATATATCATACGAAAGGGGAGATCTTACAGTTTACGCGACAATGCCATGCACAAAGTCCAACGAGTCTAATTTCTCTTTCTGCAATGTTCAAGCACGGCGTACTCGCCCGCGCACTCTTTACCTCCTTGATTTTTGATGCCAATGAGGGATGTCACAAGGACTGTCTGGGAAAACGTTCCATCCCACAATGGTGCACAAAGGCATAAATGCCCGTTACACTCATTTTTACCAGTGCAGTCTTGCAAAATACCTAAAGAAAGAACACTCCACCTATATATGTGATTACATATGTATACTGCTGCAGCAGGGTATGTATTTAATATAATAGTTTTTTTAATCGTCCATTGATCCATTTTCTAGTCCGCTTACCCTCACGAGGGTTGCAGGCGTGCTGGAGCCTATCACAGCTGTCTTCGGGCAGTAGGCAGGGTACACCCTGAACCGGTTGCCAGCCATTCGCAGGGCACAAATAGACGAACAACCATCCGTGCTCACAATCACACCTATGGACATTTTTTCGAGTGTACCATTAACCTGCCATGCATGTTTTTGGAATGTGGGAGAAAACCGGAGTACCCGTTGAAAACCCACACAAGCACGGGGAGAACATGCAACCAGGCCAGAGACGGAATCGAACCCTGCACCTCTGCACTGTGAGGCGAACGTGCTCACCAGTCAACCATGCCGTCGGTTTTTAATCACGTTTAAGTAATATGGAGGCACAAATTATGAGATTTTAACTCGTGAAAAACCCAATAATGTTGATTAAGTTTGTGGTGCTCATTGTTTTAGTGATTTTTAGAATGTAGTAGAGTTTCTAATGGATATCCAATGACGCGACCGCTTTCTACACTACACTAGCTCTTCTATAAGGCTCCAGACAGCTGCTTAACTAACAACAGAGTTGGCAAATGGAAGAGAAAGGAACAAATCAAAAATGTAAATTGTACACGTGTATCGTGCTGAATGGGTAATTAAAAAAAAAAGCAATTACGTGTTTTGATATAATTCACTGAGATAAGAGGCATGTCAACATAGCATAATCTTAGTATCAACAGCTTATAGAAAAGACGAATTCACAAGAGCGCATCTGCAGCATCTGCCTGTGACTGAATAATTGCTTTTTTCTTATGCATATTAATCAGCACATATAGAATGAGGCTGGTTTGCTAATGTCAGAAATTATGGAAATGCTTGGAGTGCATACATGTGTATATATATATCACTTACAGATGAAGAAATAATGGAAAGTTGCTGATTTTTTGCTAAAATAGTCTTTATTTTCTATTGTGTATTGCAAGAAAACCTGACTTTGTTATAGTCTTGTGCCCGGTTATGAGTTGAATACATATTGTGGATCACAGTCTTGTTTCATCAGATTATCTACAACTGTTCTTTGTGAACAGTGAACATTTGGTAGATTGTTTCATCAGATTATTTACACCGGTTCTCTGTGAACAATGAAAACTTGGTAGATAATAGCAACAGAAAGAGAAACTAAATTTCTCTTGTCGTTTTATTTACAATTAAAAAAAAAAGGACATAAACGATTCAGTGGTCTTTAAGTGCCCACTTCACACACCTGTGATCTCCCTAGTCCACTTTACATCATCAGTCAGTGGAGGTTTGCATGCAGCTCCCTATAAATGTACTTTAAGCAGCTGCCGTCGGACACCAGAAAATCACTTTCTTTTTACACCATGTCAAGGATCAGCTGTGCACCTATTGCGTGCCACATTTTAAGACAATGAGAGGAGATATTTTTATTGGTGACGAATCAAGTCGGCTGTGTTCACACACACACACACGCACACACGCACACGCACACGCACAACAGCGTAGACCACCCTTTTATAAGTACGCTCTATTGCGACGGCTTTCTCTAATACGTGGTCTAATACAGATTTCCCCAACCTTTTTTGCCCACGGACCGGTTTCATGTCAGACAATATTTTCAGGGACCAGCCTTTAATTTAAGGCCGGATAAATCCAACGATATGATATGATATGACCTGCATGAAAAGTGTGGTATTTTTGAAACATAATAATAAACATGAATCATGACACGAGGAACATCCTATCTGGCCGCAACATTCTCTGGTCGCTCTGGTAACGTTTAAACGTGCCTTCAAAATAAGATACGCCGCAAATAAAAGGTGCATGAAAAATATGACTCACCGCTTACTATGCAGAGTAGGCTTGGTGCGTGTGAATCTCCCATTGAGATAAAGCCGTATTTGAAATAGGACTCCTGATACTGTCTATTAAATGTAGCCTTCTCTTTCTTGAAAGTCGTAGGCTCCTCTTCTGTCTCCTGGCTGGGCCTTTTCTCCTTCCCGAACAAACTTTTCAAAGACGTTTGTTTTTTATGCCGTAACCGATCACGTGACCGTGAAGCGCGCATTCACCTGCGTCAAGAGTGATATACTGTAGCTTGATATAACAGAGAATCCAGTCACTTTTCAAAATAAAACATCTTTCAGATTCTGAAATGAATATAACGGAAGGAATGTAAGTTATTTATTCTTTCTGTGCAACCTGGCACCAAATGACCCGCGGCCCGGCGGTTGGGGACCCCTGGTCTAATACACCTCCACGCTGAGTTAGACAACTAGCTGTGCTAGACTTGTGCTGGCCACAAAGATAAGTCCTTAAATTTTATTGGTTTTGCAGTTTTAGTTTTAGGAATTTACATCCATCCATCCATGCATCCATCCATTATCTGCCGCTTAAATGGGGAGGCAGCAGCTTCAGCAGGGAAACCTCAACTTTGCTTTCACATCCACTTCTTTCAATTGTTCCCGAGGGGCGTCAAGGCTTTCCCAGGCCAGCCGGGAAACATGGTCTCTCCAGCATGTCTGGGGTCGACCCCGGGGCCATTTGCTGGTGTGACATGCTCGGAACACCTCACCAGGGAGGCTTCCAGTAGCCATACAAATCAGAGCCCTGTCATCCACACGTCCTCTGAGATTTTTTTTTTTTTTATTTTTGGTTCAAAACAAAGCTTTCTGAAAACTCAAAGTGGAGATTTGCGAATATCTCCGAATCCATGTTTGGTTGTGGACAGTCATAATCGGAGAATATCTGTCAGCCAGTCCGCCATCATCAGTCGGTCACCCTGTCATGCAACTCTGGCACCAACTGCAATTGTATCCCTGCAGCACAAATTCTTTCCATGCCGCCTCTTTTCTTTTTGTTCCGACTTCTCGAGGACTGACTGACACATGCGCTCCCAGCTCCGCACAAAGTATTCACATAACATCACAGAAAAGTAGCTTTTAGATTTCTAAATAATCAATAGTTGTTAGGAAAATTAGAGAAATATGCCTTATACACCCTTCTTCCCACACACCAGCGTCAGTTTCAACATGTCCTGTACGTGTAAAGGGGAAAGAGAAAGAGAGAGAGAAAGAGAGAGAGAGAGAGAGAGAGAGAGAATGTATTGCTCTCTAGCGCTAGACTCATTCCTTAATAAAACATTTTTAAAAAGTGCCATCAATCTTATGTTGTGCTTGAGTGCATATTTAATTTTTATCTTGTTGAAATATTTGTGGGTGGCACGGGGGCCGACTGGCTATCAGTCGGCCTCACAGTGCAGGGATGCAGGGTTCGATTCTGGCTCCGGCCTTTCTGTGTGGAGTTTGTATGTTCTCCTCGTGCCTGCGTAGGTTTTCTCCGGGTACTACGCTTTCCTCCCGCATTCCAAAAACATGCATGACAGATGAATGGAACACTCGATATTGTCCCTAGGTGTGAGTGTGAGTGCGGATGGAGTTCCCAGGGAGCGTTTGGGAATTTACAATGAACTAAAAATCAAAAAGAGGTGATCATACCCGTTGAGCAGAGGGGTTGTCAATAACATCATGTTGCAAAAGAAAAAAATACTGCAAATAATGGTATTGAGTGCACTTATAATGGTAATTATTGACAATCTTTAAAAAAAAAGCAATCGAAAAAAACAATAACACTTAACACGCATTTAACGATGACCTACCGATATTTACCATTCCTCCATGATTGACAATTATGCTGGTTTTTGAAGTTTTTTTTCCCCCTCGTTTGTCTTTCCTCCAAGCAAGCCAATCATTGAATATGATATGTATTGCTTGGTATACCCAATTTGAGTGAAACATGTTTTGTTCCGTTTACGTAAACCGTGACAGTAAACAATTTCTACCTGAAATGATTCCTTCACGCTATTTCACTTTGAAGCTGCCTTCAAAGACTTGAGTTTGCTCCTTTGTGCCCATCTAAAAAAATATTTTGCTCCCAGCAACAAATTCCCATCCTCGTGTGCATGCAGAAACGTTCACTATATTTTTGGGTGATGTATATTGGTCGTGTAGTGGTGATGAGTATTGCGAATCACCCATCTTTTGCCAAGATGTGTTCCCCCGTGTCAATTTTTTCGCTGATATTCAAACTAAAGCAGGCTGTTTATCTTCTCCATTGTTCACTTACATCCACAATGATATGATTTGCCCGTGTTTTCAATAATTAATTTTCTGCATGATGAAGCCGTTCTGTCACCGCATCCTCCCAGAGGCCTCCGTCTCTGTGTTTTCATCTTTCCATCATCCTTTGCTCCGATGCTTCTCACAGGCCAAACAGTGAACCCCTGGGGAGTATTGACAATACGGGCAGTGGCGGCAATTTTATCTCCTCATCATCTGTTTGTCTTGTTTCCCTCAGTAGCAGCCCCAACCCCCAGGTAAAATAGAAGAAAGACCGTTGTAATTAGTCAAGGGCTTAAAGTGATGCTTGTGTTTCTAACAACAGCCATGGATTTGTCCTCTGGGTATTGTTTTTTTAAGCTCTTGTTTATTTAATTTTAAACTTGCGTCTGAGATGCTTTGAGGAACAGTAGCTTAGTGGAGCCAATACTGGATTGCCGGGTGGGGGGAAAAAGAAAAGAACATATCTGTACAAATATACTTTAGTGCGCACAGAGTCCAAAAATATGTTGTTGACCTAAGTCCACCTATGTGGCAATTATTCTGAGGTCACCTTCCAGTGTCTGACAGGCCTTGTCAGCAATGTAGCCTCTTATATTGGACGGCACGTTCCAATCAATAGTTTCCATTCTTGCCTCCTAAAGGACATGCCCACGTTTAATAAAGCCTGACTCGATCTGCAACAGAAGCGCACCAAGTGACGAATATTTCAGCTGTTAACTGCCAGTTGCAATTGTAGAAACATTTTACAACTTATATTGCATGTTTTTATTCTCATAGTCCTGTTTGAAGTGTTGCAGCAGTTTAATGATGCTTTAGATGTGTTCTGGGTTGAATATGAATTCCATTTTTTTCCATCCGCCCAACAAATTGTCATGTTTTTAGCCTGCTCTCATGAAAATCAGCGTAAAGATGCAAAAGCACTGTCAAACAAAGTGCTCCAATGCCTTCAGGCTGATATGAGACACTGTGACCTTTAGTACTACGTTTTAAATTCTGAATTAATTAGATGCCATAAAAGCGCCGAGTATCATTTTATGATTGTACGGTCTGTTTTGATTCATCCAGACTCTTACTGTATAGTTGAATGAAGCACAGCAATTGTTTATGTTAACTTAAGTTGACACGGGGTCCAGAAGTCCGGAATCAAAGCGGATCCCACAAATGTAGACAATGATAGATCGTTTGACAAAAGTATATGAAAGTACAACGCAAGACCGACAAAGTACAATGCCGCTGGTAACTATGAACGAGGAACCGGGAATTGTGTCCTAATCCTCCCCCAGCCAACTTTTTTTTTTCCTGAGGAAAAAGTCCCTCAGTGATAAAGGACACTTGTACAAATAACACTAGAATTTTTGAACATATACTTACTTCAACGTAAAAAACATTTTAACATTGCTTTGCGTAATTACACTATGGTCTTAGTTCTTACTTGGGATGTAACAATCCAAAACGTCACAATATGACACTATCACAATATGAAACCCACGATACCATAAGGACCACGATATTGTGTGGAAATTGGCAATATAAAGAAAAACTAAAAAATAGTGTCTAAAAATGTACGATGTTTAAAGCTCATATTGAAAAGAAAAGCACGATATTGAACAGGTGTGCTTCTTTTAATATTGTGATATGATGACGACAATATCGTGGCAATTTTAACATGGTGATATCGCGATATTACAGTTACCAGTAAATGCCGAGTTATTACATTTGCAACGATTTTTCCTCTACCTGGCAAATATCATAGTAGCCAAACAATAATGTAGTACGGTAAGTTCTTTCGTTACTGGCCAAACGTTATTATGTTGGAGGTTCAGGGCTTTTATTACGCAACTGGTCAGTTGTTACATTATTGGTGCATCACATTTATTCCATTATGGGTCATTATTACATTATGTGCTTCTACAAGTCTTCACATGTTGGAAATAAAGAAATTTGAAATCAAAATAGAAGCTGAAGTTAGCTGTCAGGTACATCTTAAGAAAATAAAAAATAAAATTACATAAACTGTTTTTCCAGACTTTGATAAATCTTTATTATGCCAAAGCATACAATTGCTATTCTTTATTACCGGCATTATTTTTTTCTTCACCCCTTATATACAGGATAAAACTTCATATCCATTTTATTTACGCACACCATGATGGCCAATTTAGTCTTGATGTTTTTGAAGACACTAAATATTTGATGTAGCCCCACTGGTTTGAATTTATCATCTTTGCAGCAATCGTGGGTTTTTGCTAAATGAAAAGGTTTTACTTACGAAATGTGCTTGCCATTTCCATAAATGTCTTTTTTTTCTGCCAACACATTCTTTCTTTACCAGCCACTGGGAACTTTTTTCTGTACTATACAGTATATGTAAATCGGTAGTTTTCCCTTGATATGTATGAATACATCTGCAATAAGACTTGTCAATCAGGCTATGTCATGCATCATCGCACGTTGATGGGAATAAAGTTATAGCCTGTATTAGAATAAGAGTAGAGGGCAGTGAAGGAAATTTGCCAGTGAGCAGTAGATTAATAAACCTCATCTTTTACCTCATGGAAGTATTTCTCTTTTTGTACATTTGCCCATTCTTTACAATGCATACCTCCTCACTCCGGCTGCATAAAGCATAAATCTTAAAACCCCCAGCAGGCGAAAAAACATTTAAAAGCCTCTTTCATATCTTAATCAACGGGCGTGTTATTGTGCTCAGCCCAAGTCTTGCGCAAAGTGCACTCTAACAGTGTGCATGGCTGGAGTTTTCTTCTATTTGGTGTTTTCGTAGAACGGCACAGGTAGAAAGGAGCGTTTGCACCGTTGTGAGCGTGAACACAGCTGACTTGTTTCCCGGCTAGTGGAAGCGGCCCCTTCAATCCCTTCCTTTAATTCAACGCAAGAGAGGCACACACAGTGTTTAACATTGCAGAAGGAGGAATAAGCTCGCTGAAGCCCATGCAGACAATCAAAGCATGCAAAGTACGTTTATAAGCAACTGCAAGCAGACTTCCACAGGTGGATGATATCAAGTTGTTCAAGGTGATCACAGATCACTGCTGTGCAGTGGGCACTTGGCGAGGGCCTTCCACCCCAATGTTTTGTGACTGTGTAACCCCAGCCTACAATTCCGCGGCTTGCTGCGGCCCAGGCTTGTGTTATAAAATATAATAAAGATGATGATAATGATTTGTTCAATGATTCAGAGGGTTTGACACACGCTGTTGTCGCATTTATGAATGAAATATGACGACATCTACCACACACGTCTGTGGAGCTCAGAATATGTCTGCCTGCACCATCACCAAAATCGCATGACACCGCCTACGCCACAGCCTAGAACTGCTACTCTCTACAAAAATAGAGCCCAACATATTTTGGTGTTCAGGGGAAAGCACTGCCTGAGTCATTGTCTACATATGGGGTGTTGAGTGTGAGTATATTATGTGTGCCTGAGATAAAATCCCTCATTTGTATGGCTTTGTCTTTATTTCCAATTTTTCTCCGAGCAGAGGTCACACACTAATCCTTAATTGTCCTCCAATCATCTGTTAGCTGGATACAAACTTCTCATTCCCTCCCGATCGTTCTGCCTTCTTATCCTCTTAACTCTTCTTGCCCTCTTTGCTGCACTCGCTTGTCACTCCCCTGTGGAGATAAAGTCATTTTGAAATGAAGTGATATAAAATGGCTTTTTCCCGGCATTGATAGATAGAGGTGAGGATGTTCCCAAATAACCCAGTGATGGAAAGACACTATGATATGGAATGTGTTTTTGTGTCAGTGCATGTTTGACAGATTGTGTGAAACAAGCTTGGGTATAACATATCGTGCTATGTATTAAGAAACGGTCTCATTTGCGCGTTCAGTCGAGAGACAGAAAATCATCACATATCATTTGACAGAAGTAAGTACTTGGTTTTTTTGCATTCCAATTTTACTGAGAGTAAAGCCAGCTTAATCACGTCACTGTCTTTGGCAGTAATGCTGATAAAGTGGCTTGTAAACAGTGCTGCATTGTGGGATCGGGTCAGATAGTACTTTGATCTCATCAGATGCCAGCTGGGGCACAAATACAAGCCATTATCCTCCTAACGAAGACAAGGACATTCATTTTTATATGATGCTCGCAGTAACAGGGCAAGGACTTGTGCAGGCTTTCTCTCTGGGCTAGGCTCCAATTAGCCACACTGAAATATCTGTTTAAGCAGTTGCTGGCATGATTTTGTTTATAACATGTTCTGATCTCATTGTATTTTTCATAAATTTGAATGCCTTATTTCACCTTGTGTCTGATGCAATCTGTGTGTATGCAAATGGAGTGTCCACAAAAGCAGATATAGGCACTGAGTTGGAATCTTACTTCATTAGTACATTAATTTGCTTTATACCTTCCCATTTTCTGACATTTTTTAATGTGCATGGATGAACCCCATCAGAACGTGGTGCGTTGACATAGAACGGAATGCCATCCCAACCGCAGGCGGAAAGGTAATGCTGTGGCCTCGTCACTCCAGAGCCCATCACCGGTACCGGGATAGACAATGACACACACGGGGGGAAGAAAATGACCAATACGCAATTCATGCATTATATCTTGGGCAAAAGACCGCCTTGGCCACCAGAGACATAGATGGTGTTTTTTTCTTTGTTGGCTTCATTCACATGGGTATAGACTGAGAGCTTCTTTGACTTGCTAAAGAAGCTCTAATGCTGTTTCTTTTGTCCAGAGCTGAGGCACCGTTTTCTTCTTGAAGCAAAAACATATTTTTCAGCCTTCATTTTGAGTGTCCCTCAAAGATGACGTGTTCTCTATTCTCCCTCGCTCTTTAGGTCCTGACACCACTAAGGACCCCTGTCTGAAAGTGCACTGCCCCCCTCATAAGGTGTGTGTCAGCCACGACTACCAGACAGCCATATGTACCAATCACAAGCAGCCAACTCACAGGTAAGGAATTGCTCTATGGCATTGGGTTAAGAAAGATGATTGTAAGACACTATTCCACAAGACTTTGCAGATAGCGGGGAAACATAAGACTACAAAATTACTCCTCCGTGCTTCACTGACAATTTTAAACATATTTGCAAAACCACTTCATTCTTGTCAAACAATACACTTATTTGTTGACTCGGTGCACTCAGTCAAGGCACTATCAGCTCTAATTTGTTTGTGCTTTCAACCTTGCAATGATCCCAGTTTTCACACTTTTCTTCTAAAATGTTCCATCTTGAAACATCATCTCCAACCTACATCTCAAAGTAATTTTTCGTAACTGTCTTATGTCACTGCTTTTAATTGATTTCTCATTAGCTTCTAAGTCATTAGCTTCTAAATCAATTTGTTTTGATCCTTCCCCCTCATATTGAACGAATAACACATCCAATTTACCGCTTAATGCATCAAATGACTCCAATGCAATCTGTATTTTGCAAACGCATCACTCACTTAAGCCACAGACCATAAAATAATTTTAGCCTGCTTTAAATTGTTTTCATGAGACTCTTATTTCATCATTACTGGTTCAATAACTTGCTTGCTTTATGCATACCATTGAGGATTTGATTTCAGCTGATGGCTTCTCATAGGCCCACCCCATGCTATCTGGAATGGCACTGTTTGTGCGACTTTTGGCACCTTGCTTCGGTGTATAAAATTTTGATGTATGTACTGTATGTAATGGGAAATATAAGGGATATCTAGCCATATTAGGGATGGGCAAATTTGATTTATTATGACTATTTTTAAAATGAAAAGCAAAAATATACAGTATATGTTGGAGTTATTGAGGCGTAACGTGTATGATTTCCGTTTTCTTATTATGGTACCAAAAAAAAAAAAAAAAAAAACAGGCATTTTAGGAAAGGGAGAGGAACATTAACTACCTTGCGCTCTTAGCCTGGAAAGCCGAACCCACTATGTCAGGCTTTGGCGGTGGAATTCCATCCTCATTCAAAATGGCGTGCGGGAGAGACGGTAGTTTATTAACATCATTCAGCATCAAATCATTTTTTAATAACCAGAAACACAGTCAATAAAACATCAGAAGTTGACAGCACTGGAAGCATTTCTTTCAAAAGAAGAGTTTTTTTTTTTTTACATCACATTCACTCTTCGCTAATTGGTTCATTTCGCTCTTTGTTTGCTCAGATTTGCCCTGCGCTTGGTGAGTCTGTGACTAGACTCAATTGCTGGTACAGCAATAAGTCTGGATTTCCAAGCTATCACGCTCTTGCCACACACTACTCTGTATACAAATACAGTGCAGCTCAGCCTTTGGCTCATGAATGCCAGGGCTATTGACATGCTTTTGGGAGTCGGTCAAAATAAACTAATTTAGCAACACTTGAATAATCAGTACGGCACAGAAGAACTAGCTGCTGCAACATGGACAGGGGTCCCCAACATGCTGCTGCAAGTTGCAAACGCAACTTGCAGCAGCATGTTAACAACCTCTCCCAGACTGAACTAAAGCAACAACAAATGCCGTTGGTGTTTTTACAGCATACTGATTCAACTGTGCCACCGCTAAAATGTCACTAGCCTGCCTGATTTCCTCATTCCTCTGGATTTGCAGCGGGAATGCTAAGTCGTACGCAAAGTTGCTCCACACTGGCTACAGGGGCCTGGCTTGTTACTGTGGCAAAGGTTTTTCCTTCCACCGTGCAGAACCACACTTCAAAATTTTAACATACGTAAATTAATATTTGAAGTGTCCTTTTCAACATGCTGTTCGCATTGTGGAACTCCAGAGGCAGCCGATGGGTACATTCTGGCCAAGTGCAGCTTCACCGGTTGCCGAGGCAAAAACAAAAGCTGTGCAGAATTAACACTGTGTTTTGTGGGGTTGGGCCGCTGCTGACCTCGACTCGGGACGTTGTGAGTCGGTGAGCAGAATACTTCAAAGACTTCCTCAACTCTAAGAACATGCCTTCCTTAGGGTAAGCAGAGTTTGGGGACTCTGAGGTTAGCTGTCCTATCGCTGCGGTTGAAGTCACCGACGTGGTTAAAAAGCTCCTCGGTGGTGGATGAGGTCCGCCCGCAGTTCGTCAAGGCTCTGGATGTTGTGAGGCTGTCCTGATTGAAACGCCTCTGCAACATCGCGTGGTCATCGCGGAGAGTGCCTCTAGATTAGCAGACCGGGGTGGTGGTCCCTCTTTTTAAGAAGAGGGACCCGAGGGTGTGTTCCGACTACAGAGGGATCACACTCCTCAGCCTCCCAGGTAAGGTCTATTCAGGGGTGCTGGAGAGGAGGGTCCATCGGGAACTCGAGTCTCAGATTCAAGAGGAGCAGTCTGGTTTTTGTTCCGGCTGTGGAACTTTGTACCAGCTCTACACCTTTGGCATGGTCCTCGAGGGTGCATGGGAGTTCTCCCAACCAGTGTACATGTGCTTTGAGGACTTAGAGAAGCTGTTCAACCGTGTCCCGCGGGGAATTCTGTGTGGGGTGCTTCGGGCATATTAGGTACCAAACCCCACTTCAAAAAGCCCATCTAAGCTTTTCAGTGTTAATTCTTACCCACCTCTATCCTGCTGTGAGGAGGCTCTAATACTGAGAAATTATAGCCTTTCCAAATTAGTGCATCATGGGAAATTCCAGCAGTATCCTGGAGCTTTGTGCAATGTGAGAAATCAAGAGGAGAGAATATTTCCAGTGCCGTATTTTATGATAATGTGCTTAGTACACATGTCCAGTCATCCGCATTTATTTGTTAAAGTGATAGTGTATTTGCAAGGCCTACAATAGCATTTTTGGGATGGTGGGATAAAAATATTTACTGCCTACTGTATGTGGTATGCCAGACGTATACGTTTTCCCGTATCTGTCAGCATGGTTTACTTCATCAAGTTTGTGCACTTGTATGTTTGCGGTTCTATTCTGCTCTGATTATTAGTGACTAATGGATTGTATCGGAAGGCACACCACCTTACTTTTTTTTTTTTGTTTTATTTTTAACTATAATTTAAAGCCAATATCCTATTGCAGGGGTCCCCAACCTTTTTTGCCCCACGGACCGGTTTATGTCAGACAATATTTTCAGGGACCGGCATTTAAGGTGTGGCGGAAATAATACAACAAAATAATATGGTATGAGCTGCATGAAAACTGTGGTGTTTTCGAAATATAATAATAAACACAAGGAGCGTCTAATCTGGCCGCAACACTCCGATCGCTGTGGAAATGTTTAATGCCTTCAAAATACGATACAATGCAAATTCAAAGTGCATGAAAATGACGACTCACCACAGGCCCGAGCTTGATTTTCTGCAACCAGACGGTCCCATCTCGGGGTAATAGGAGACAATGACACCTCAAGTGTGTATTTTACGTCAAGTCTACTTCGTAATTTTGTTTTAGTCGCCATTGCTGTTTTTTTAATCGGTCACGTGACGGAGAAGCGTGGCTTGACGTGTGTCAAGCGTGACACAGACGGATGTAACGGAGAATCCGGTAATTTTTCAAAATAAAACATCTTTCGTGTTCCGAAATAAATAAAACGGAAATAAGGCAAGTTCTTTCTGTGCGGCCTGGTACCAAATGCCCTGCGGACCGGTACCGGCGGTTGGGGACCCCTGTCCTATTGCATGCATGCATGCCAGGCCAGCAGATGGTCCGACACTTTGCATGTGTACCAACTTATTTTTTCTTTTTATTGGAATGCCTTCGACTGCAAATATATGATCGGTGGATAATTATTTGATAAACCGATATAACTGGACACAGTTAATCTTTGCAATCAAAAGTTATATGTACAAATGCTACTGCTATTCCTGTTTTTACTTTGAGGTATTTCCACATGCCCAGTCGTTTACACTATACTGTGATCATAAGGGATTAATTGTATCATCAGTTAAATAGGTAAATAAAGTTAAAAAAAGACATCTTCAAACTTTCCTTTTTTATCTTTTGTCTTCCCCTAAAAATATGTTCTTTTTCTACTCAGGACAGTATATTTGCATACATGGTGCTATTTATTGTTTTATTCACAAGTACAATCTGGCTCTTGTTCATTCACTTTGGACATGTTGAGCAAATGCTTCGGAGGAATATCTTCTCGCCTTGGAAGTTAATAAGTACTTGTACTATACATTTTATTTTTCTTTAAGAGAGCATTGGTGTTTTTTTCTTGTCATGTAGTGTGAAAGCCCGGAAAGGCAGCGTGGGCCACAAGCATCGGTTTGAAGCGGGAACTCACGGGAACTGCAAACTGTGTTCATCAGTCCATTCAATTCCGGTGTGTGGCTCCGATGGACACACCTACTCTTCAAAGGTAAAATTCCCTGATATGTGTCTTCCCCCATTTAAAAAAAAAGACATCAGTTTTCTTATTTCATGCTTTAGTTGCTCTCTTAGTGATGACATATTTATTTGTGGTCTTTCAATTATTTATTGAATAAAAATGTAGACAATTACATTTCGGCACAGTTTTTCTTTGATTCCATCTGTCTTCTGTCCTTCTTCTGAAGCTTCAAGGTTCATGCTGGGAGCGTGAGCCTTCCTTTGGAAAGCTTTTGTTTCCCCTCTTGATCCTCGTCGCAACCAATCTCCCTGGCTGTTAAAGCTACACTGAAGGGCGCGATGCCCAATCCGAGTGTTTTGATAAATCCTATCTTTTTATGGACTCGTTCACATTCCAAAAAACTAATACAACTTCAAATGTGACTGCAATGCGTCCTAGATGTGATATGCATGTGCACAAAGCATGACATTTAATGATGTCCAGCCAAAGAATAGATGTCACGTGGCGCAGTTTACAGACGTAAATATGGTCCCATGTGTCGGGGCTCATTTTATTGTCTCACATTACCAGACTACCAAGGTCGGAGGAGGTAGAAATATTTTGGGGATATGAGGCAGGACAGAAGCGCAATAAAAGGATGAGGATTGATGGGGATAGAGGACGATTATTATTTGAATAAGGACGGAGGAAAAAAGATGGAAGGCTACCCAGGTCAGGGATGGAGGATGGAGGACGGACCGGCAAAATAGGGTAAAGTCCCCATCTCTGGATGTTGTCATGTCATTGTAACGCGTAACAAATGAACCCTCTGCATGGATAAATTGCTACTGTCATCACAAATATGCACATTATCCTTCATGTTTCATGTGAAATTAAATTAAAGTCAAATTAAAGACAGTAACTGTTACACAAAACAACTTTGCATATTCATGGACGATGTCAGTCGTCTCTCGAGCGATCTACCTCGCCGCTGCGGAGTGCATATCGGGTTTTCACTGACGTATAGGTTGGGTGTGTGCATTCATACTGCAGACGCATTACATCCATCCATCCATTTTTCGATCCAGTTTATCCTCACAAGGGTCACGGGGGGTGCTGGAGCTTATCTCAGCTGTCTTCAGACAGCAGGCGGGGGACACCCTGAACCGGTTGCCAGCCAATCTCAGGGCACACAGAGACGAACAACCATCTGCGCTCACACTCACACCTCGGGACAATTTTTCGAGTGTTCCATTAACCTGCTATGCATGTTTTTGGAATGTGGGAGGAAACCGGAGTGCCTGGAGAAAACCCACGCAGACACGGGGAGAACATGCAAATCAAACCCCGCACCTTTGCCTGTGAGGTCCACGCGCTAACCACTCATCCACCAGGCCGCCGCATTACATTCATATCCAGTTTACATCCATATAAGAAAGAGGCCCAATTGCACTGTTCACACTTTATGAAAAAAAAAAAACAGATATGTGACGCATACGGGCCAAAAAATTGAAATTGAGCTGCAATTGTGATTCCATGCGGCTGCAAGCAAGCCAACACGGCCATAGTAGCAAAGATACAGATTAGAAATATGACATAATATGAGTTGGTATAGCGTCTAGAACTAACGAATGCATCTTTGTGTCAAAAAAGATTAATTCAAGTGCCGTTTGGCCTTGGAGCCGTGAGTGAGTTCATTGACATCCATTCATGCTTGTGGTATCCAATTATTTTACCTATAGAAACATGTAGTGCCATATGCAGAACCTTGAGACTTTTGCATCGAAATCGAGTAAAGTATATACTGTACAGTACGTTTCAAAAGACAAGGGGAGGTCACCACTAACATTCTAGTTTTAAATACATTTTTAATGGTGGTCCTTTTGAAAAAAAAAATGCAGGAGGAAAATGCAGAAGGACAGATTCATACGTGAACACTGCAATACTGCTTCCCACTGTAATTCTTTATTGATTCCTCAACTATTTATCCATCCATCCATTTTCAACACCGCTTATCCTGGACTGGGTCACGGGGGTTGCTGGAGCCTATTCCAGCTGTCTTCGGGCAGTAGGCTGGGTACACTCTGAACTGGCCAATCACAGAGACAAAAAACGATTCACGCTCACAATCACACTCCTCAATTATAGTCTGAGGGAATTAAATAATACAAATGGGTTTGTTTGCTTTAACTCTTTAATATCTTCAACTCAAGTAATGACGGACCTGTCAGTCCGTCACTGAGGGACACCCATTTCACTGACGAGTGACGAAAACACACCCCACCTCAATTTTCGTGTGTGCTTGTTTGTTCGAGGGCGTTGAAACAGGCAAGGGCAGGCTTTATCTATAAATGTACAGTAGGTGGCGATTTGCACCAGAGTGACAATAGTGCAAGTATTAGAATGTGCAAGACAACAACTAATTAATGAGCTAAGAGATCAGAAAGTAGCTTTGAATACTCGAGACAATTTTACAGAGAAATTATTGTGAGTTAAGTTGTTAAGTTCTATTTTTATTTTTGGAAACAGTAGGGTTAAATAGGAGGTGTTGTGTTGTGCAGAGCCACACTTCATTTTAAAAGGTGGAGGTAATGCACCAAATGTTGTTACCAGTACGCTTAAACAGTTCAATAGATTGACAAATAAGTGTATGCTAGTGTCACTGATGATGTAGTGGTACATTGACCTGACTTGTATATGGGCAGCTTGGGATCGGTCGTTTGTCTCAATGTGTGCCCTGCGACTGACTGGCGACCAGTACAGGGTGTAATCTGCCTTTCGCCCGAAATCAGCTGGGATAGGCTCCAAAGACTCCCCGTGAGCCATTGTGAATAGGAGATTATTGCACTATACTCTCCTATCCACAATGGCTCAATTTATTCAAATTTGATTTTTCATCTGTTGGACTATGATGTTTTGTTTTTTTGTTTTTGTTTTTGTTTTTTTTTTTGGAAGGAAGTTATCAGTTTTGATGTCAGTGTTTGTGCATTCCTAGTTTTAAGACCACTTATGATAAAAAAATTTAAACTTTTAGACTGCCAAAAGTTGAAAGAGCTCCTCTAAATGTCATCATTACTGCTAGTTAACATATTGGCTCTAGTTTACTCCAGCGGGTAGACGTGGATAAGTTCCCCTATTTTACATTGTTTGTTTTTGCTTTAATTATATATTTTTAATAAATGTTAACTTTGTCATGCGCAATCTTAGAAATGATGGTTAATTTCACGGCATGCTATACGACTAAGCCGATGTGACAAAAGAGTCGAGGTCACACAAAATACGGCCATTTAGCCTGATTCTTCTGTTTTTATTTTCTTCTCTTTGAAACTGTTGTTGTGTTTTTTTCTGATTGTACTCCAACAAAGGTACCTTTTATTTAATGATTATTCAAGGTGATGATTAAATTGACAAAACAATTGCACTGACTTACTCGCTGTATTAATCAGTTGCAGAATATCAGTCGTGATTGTGGCAGCGGAATTTAAATTCATGGGTTGATATGATTTAATAATTGAACCAACATACAGTCCAAACCCACTTATTGTTCTGCTCGCCGCATGAGATTTCTTTTCAGCTCACTTGCTAATAAGATACTGTACCGCCCAGTACTGAGAGACTGAAGTGTTGGAGGAGGAATGGAAATAAAGAAGAGGAGGGCAAAGAAATCCCGATGCTCTTTGGCAATTCAGCTAGAATGGTTCAGTCGTTTAGAAGGTGATCTGATTGGTCCTCATTGCTCGACTTCTCGGCAATGAGCGTCTTTGTCACAGTCTTACCAATGCTATATTATTACATGATCTGCCCCATTCATTATACACACACACAGACACGCAACACACACACACACACACACACACACACACACACACACACACACACACACACACGCCCTGCATCATATTTAGAACACAGATCTGTCATTTTCTGAGAAACCTGAGTGAAGTCCATTCCTCCTCTCCTCTTTTTGCAATCCACTGATTCAGGTGCTAAAACACAGTTTGATTAAAACCACATTAATTGAGCACTCTAAATTGTCCCTACATGTTAGTATGAGCGTGAATGGTTGTTTGTCGATGTGTGCCCTGCACTTGGCTGGCAACTGGTTCAGGGTGATCCCCGCCTACTCCCCAAAAACAGCTGGGATAGGCTCCAGCAAGCCCGCGATCCTTGTGAGGCTGAGCGGATTAGAAGATGGTTGGATGGATGATTCAGTGAAAGGTGCTTTGAACACGTATGTAAGCTATGTTTGTAAAATGTAATTTTTAGGCTTACAGGCTATGTTTTAACAATGTATTTTTTATAATGTTCTTAACTTCTACCAAAGTGGGTCACGAATTGGCAATATGAGGAAAATGCGGGTCCCAGGGTGACAACATTTGAGAACCAATATTCCAGGCTTTTCTAATTTTGTGTGGGCTAGTTTTACAAAAATCTGAACACAGCTATGCTGTAAAGATTGAGGTACTTTGTGACTTCTCAGCTGGAACTTAGGTGTGGCATCAATGATCAAATACATTTGAGGAAAAGATAAACTGCTGTAACCGGTGCAATACAGTGTATTGTAAACACTGCAGCATGACACATTTTTTGAACATTGTGAAGTAAATTGAAAGATGGAGAAAAGTCGCACTGTGTAGGAAGTGTGTGGCTTAGTCCAATTCACTTTATACATATACCATTTTCACAGCCAAAAGTACATGTGATCGTCTCTCTTGTAAAGCAGAAAAGATAACTTTTATTGAAGATGTTGGCAAAACCGGGTAAAATGTGCTTTGGATAATAATAACTCAAATGTCAGCATCACTCTCAAAAACCGAAGGGCAGCATTCTTGTTTTTTTTTTGTTGTTGTTGGCATATTTTGCTGTGCAGAATAATGTTCTGCAATATGAAACACAAAAACAATTTACATAACCCATCTCAGTTGTCATTCGTCTTCAAGAAAAAAAGAATTCCTTATTCCTCACTCACCTACGATGAGATATAGTTTCTCCGATTACCTTCTGAAGCAGCCCATCTTGCATTAGGGTTTGTGCTGCAGTGAAGAAGAATAGAATGTCACTGGCCATCTTACCGTCTAATGGTAGTTTGCTTCTTAATGGGCACTTCTGCCCCAAGATGAATGAGCACTCCTAACAGTAAAGTTTCTTCTTAATCAGATTCAACCAAGATTTATTCTTGCATACTGGAGCGTACTTTCAGCGAGGTTACGTCATACCTGCCAGTCAAGGCAAGGCAAGGTCGCTTTATTTACGCTATATAGCACATTTCAAACGCAAGGCAACTCAATGTGCTTCACAAGTCAAGCCTACATTACTTCTGTTAAACCTTAGTCAGCTCAATATGTACTGCAGCATAGCATTACAGATGTGTGCGAAACCAACCAAAATTAAGCTGTTTAGTACAACAACAAAAAATACAGAAAGAAGATTAAACAATGAATAAAGAACCCCACCCTTGACTAAGTTAATTAAATTTCTGTTTTTGGGGCACCTGGGGACAGGAATATGATTAATACCTGTCATAATGTTTTCCTTAGCCACAAGAGATGCATTTTTCTTCTCACCGCATTTCAATGCAAGTTCCCAATTAATTGTGCTTTCTTTGAATCATTTGACAGTGTAAGCTTGAGTTCCAGAGCTGCCTTGCCAGAAAGATGATCTCAGTGAAATGTGATGGACAGTGTCCGTGTTTGCCTGGACAATTGCTTAGCAAGACACCATTGAAAACTGACAAGACTGGTGAGTACGCTCCATATTTTGCTTACATCTGTTTACCTGTCAAACCAGCCTTTTGAATTTGATTATGTGGTTTGGATTAATGGATGAGCAGATGAGTAGAACTTACGCTATACTTGAATTCACTTGTGAGTTCAGCCCTTAATTCTTTCGGCAATTTTTGACTTTTCCACCACATACAAAAAAACCCATCCTTTGTGGTGATCCCTCAAAACATCCAGCAATTCACGTTTCCTTAGCTTTTTCCTCACTCCTCCCCATATTTATATTGTTTTTCCCCCTACGCCATTCTTCTGACAGCAACAGCGGCCAGTGATGGAGTGAGTCTGTGTGTCTTGTTGTTTGTCACAAAAATAGGATTTTGTCTGATAGATGGAGAGATTCTGAGGGAGAAATGCAATCTAAAGTGGTGTAGCACAAAAAAGGATGGATTGTGGTTGGTAAAAAGAAAATTCCTCCCTTCCCTATGTGGGAGTAGCGGGATGATGATGATGAGGAGGAGGACTCAGCCATATATCCATCATTTGACCGTCTGTCTCAGCCCTCTCACAGCGGCGAGCCACGCATTTGACCTTCAGTGGCTACTTACCCAACTTCATCCACCCGCCCACTGTCACGTTCCTATAATAGAAACCATGAATGCTACATGAAAACATAATACAACAGCATGCACCAAAACATCAGATGCATTTCAGAGTCAATGTGTATCCTCCAACATGAGAAAAACATAATCGGTTTAAATAAAATGCATTGTACTCACCGGGTATTCCGATTACTAAATGTATCCATGTGTGTAGATCTGATCAGATGTGCTGTGTTAGACAAACTTGGCTCGCTCTGCCCAACCAAATAGACGACAGAAAAATGCTGATGTTGTTTTGGCCCGCTAGCTGGCTCTCGGAGGTCACCCCATGGATACATCAGAAGTATTTTGAACATTTTTGGAGAGTATTTAGCGAGCGTGCCTGTTCTATAAGCCGCCATGGTGCCAAAGAAGGGTTCAACTGCCGGGCGTCCCTTTGGACACACCGTAGAATTACCAAAAGACCCTTGTCGCAAAGTACAAATGTCAGATTCCGCTTCCGGACAATAACCTCTCTTCCCTCTCCTTATTTTTGCCATGTAGTATACGCCAACAAGAGTCTTCACGAAGGACAAATGTTTATTTTATTTAGTCATTACTCTGTATTTCACATTGTTTTCTGGATGGTGAACTAAAGGTTTTTTGTCATTTTTTTAATTCATTTTTCACGGGTGTCTAGAAGCAACAAATTAAAATATCGCGTTATTTTTCATACAATTAGTCAGATTTGTTTTGCAAGGAATAAAACCAAGTTTCACCTGTATATGTCTACGTGTTTGGACTGCAGAACGTGTAGCCCTGTGCAGAGAATCAATTTATTTTGTCTGGGTCTCTTCCTTTCACTCTCACAGTAAGTTGGCTTTTTAAATGCAGTCCTCTCTAATGCCTCTCATCCCAGTGTCACATTTTTTATTTCTTGCTGACTCGGGCAGTAAGTGTCATGCTTGTGGACGCGGCATATGCGTTGTCACCCAACCTGATAGGATCTCACATCAGATCAGTGGCTCAGAATAGTTAACAGATGGAGTTGGCACTAAAGGTGTGTGTGTGTGTGTGTGTGTGTGTGTGTGTGTGTGTGTGTGCGTGTGTGTGTGTGTGTGTGTGAGAGAGAGTGCGTGTGCGTGTGTGTGTGCCAGATTTTGTTCTCAGCAGTTTGAACTTGGGTATCAGTAAACATGAAGATGTGATCGTACAAACCAAACTGCGCACTCACTCTAAGCCGGAAATGAAACCTAGTTTTACTGTTGCAATGCCGTTCATGCGTTTTATATTCAGATATCCAGATGGGATTGGATGTACAATAAAATGTAAATGTACTTTGTTTTGACAACACGGTAGGAAACAAACTAAATAGTGTATGCTGAAGAAACAGACGTAAAGCAGAATGATGGCAATGCTGCCTGCTAAGAAATAAATCATCATGGGAAATCATATCCATGCTCCTCGGATTTGCTTTGATCATTTTTTTGAATTTCATTTAGCATCCACCCATCGTCTTAAGTACATGTGTACCCCTAAAACGGTTACTTTGTGATTGTTCAATTACATTGCCTGTGCATCCTTAATTACAGTGTCTCTTTCGCATAGGCTATTGACGTTAATTAGAGGGAAGGAACGTCATGAAATCTCCAGCTAACCTAAACAACCTCTTTATTTGCTCATGATACACGACCATGTTCTGTCAGAATGTGTCCTCTGGTTATGTCGTCCTGCCAATTCCATGGCTTTCCGTGGAATATCAGCATGCACACACTCCATGGATCACTCAAAGTTAGCACTTATTTGTTGATTTGTATGTTTTAACACAAAAACAAATTCTTGAATACTCCGATGATGTACCACCATGAAGCGTTATCCGTCAAAAACAACAACAAAATAAAATATCCCAAATACTCGAATTTTTAAATATCCAGGGGGGGAAAAAATCTCTAAATTGGTGAATTGCAAGTAAGTGGGGGCCCACCATTCAAGCATTGGCACATAAACATCATTATCAGTGTGAGTAGTTTAACGTTATGGTTTAAAACATTTGCCCCCGAGAAAGGACTGTACATTTGGTTTGGTTTGACTGATCATCATTAAAGTCATTTCATTAGTTTCCTGTAATCTCCACTGACCATGAAGACATCTCTGGATGAAGAAGGACAAACACCGTATTGTTTTCTATTGTACTTTTTGCCCCGTTGCTCCACAACCTTTATACTCTTATTTTCTACAAATTTTCATTTGCTGGCATGTTCACTTTTAGACCTTTGGACTAAACTATTAATGCTTCAGGTTTCCACAAGCCGACTTAGCCATGCTTTCTCATTTTGCATCGTTTAATTCCGTGTTCATTTGAATGTTCTTAAAAAAAAACAGACTGATAATTTCATTTCTCGTGACCGCTCACTTTTTCTATTGTCTTCCTTCTTTCTCTAAACGAATAAACCATGAATTCTGACTGAGTGTGATGACAAACAAAATGTCCTCAAGTACCTTTTTGAAACAACCCAACTACAGTTTTATTTGTAATATCTATATACAAGGCTACTAGACTGTTTGCACTACTTATAACTATAATGTGTTTCCATTTTACTGATAAATGTTTAGCGTGGTCAATATATCACTGCAAGGAGGACTATGTTGAATGTTTTTAAAGGAGCAATGCAAAAGCGATCATGATCTGAGCCGTCTCGCCTCACCCTCTGTGCTGGTGATAAAGGCCAAACTAGCAAGTAAATCCAGCATGCTGTTGTTTTCTTTTTAATGAAACTGACCCATCCAGCTCCCAGCCACTCATAACTTGTGAAGTGTCACCTGATACTGCACATCCACTGCGCCAGTCGATTGTCTTCGCCACAGTCTGGAGGTCAACCCAGCCCTTTCGTCTGGCACAATTTAGAGAGTTTCTCTTCGACTGGACAAAAATGCTGCTTTTACTCGTGTGATTCATCAATAAGAAGTTGAAGACCGCTTAGTTCCTTCTGAATTGCTTGACATTTTTGGGAGAACAAAGAGAAGTTCCTCTTCTATTGCAACATGACATAAAAAGCGTGCTTGGGTGAGTTTTTGAGGAAGAATGAGAGAGCCTTGACCTAAACTGCACCAGCCACCTTTGGAATGAAGAAAAACAGACGTTGTGATTACTACAGTTCAGCCTTCCATAAAACATTTGATTAGTACCCAAAAAGGGTTCCAGATGATTTGTTAAGGCTACAGCAATTGGCGGACATTAAAATACTCCAAGTTATTTCATTGATCATTAAGCAGGCACACATTTTATTGGCTTAAGTCTCTCATCACAAATTAGCATCTGTTGTGGTCTTTATCAATATTGCTCCTTGTGCTACTTGGAATGTACTACCCAGAAAAAAAATAATAATAACAACAATTGGAGCCAGTTTCATTGGCTATTTTGAAGCAGATTTCAAATAAATGAATGGTAAATGTATCAGATTTTTGATTACCAGTTGTGTGTGGGGTTGTGGTTGTATGACTTGATTTACTTTTCATCCATGTTCGAGGTCACAAGTGAGGGATTGGAGAATCTCTGAAATGTCATGAAGTCCTGTTTTTCATACTAGTACAGTGTTGAGCAGAATATTTATTCCTGGGTGAGTGGTCCCACAGGACAGGACACAAACTACTTGAGACTGAATTGTCAGTGGCCCTTCTCATTGCAGCCAAGTTGTGCAGTTGCTTTTCACCAAAATTCTCACTACTTCTAATAATTAATCGGTAATATTCAGTTGCTTTGTCATTCTCTGGAGCATACAATTTACTGTCATAGTTTTGTTGATTGAGGAGGAACAAAAGTTAAAATATGTGTCAGGGGAAAAAAACACCGCATCTCTCAAAAAACAAAAAAACAATGGGTATCACAAAGCCCAAGAGAACAACAAAACAAGCCGTCCATTGTGTGCAAATATTTTTATTTCCAGCTTTCTTTTTTATACATTCTGCACCCAAAACCTGCTCGTAGAACAGGTGATAGTGTCTGGTCTGTCAGAAGCAATTGAGATCAGAGACCGTCAACACTTGTGTAGTAGTGCTAAGTGCAAGAGACTAGAGAGCCTGAGATGGAGAGCTGCAGCGGTCAAGGCAAAGGATGAAAAAGTGTGGAGAGGAGGAGGAGGACAGGGTGAGTGGATATCAAAGCCACACTTATCTTTGGAGTTTATATGGCGATGTGTGAGAGGAGAGAGGGGAAATGAAGCACTCAAAGTAATTTAGGTGAGCAAAAGAAACAGGAGGCGACAGGAATATCAAAGTGGTTCTCTAAGTCAGTTAAGTAGAGGCAGGCGTGATGAAGCTCAGGTGAACATATGAAGCTCAGAAAATGCATACAGTGCTGTCGGACAGAAAATACGGGAATTGAACGAGTCTGTCATGGGAACTTCAGAGCAATGTCAAAAGCGCAATGTTTCGCTGATGGAAAGAGGAGACGAAGGAGAAAAAAAAGGACACTTCAGAAAGAAGAAAAAGTAATCGAGCCATATTCCTTGTGGTCTGAGACCCCATATCTCTGCACAGAAGTTTTATGTCAGAGGTGAAGGCGGATCGTTTTCAACTGAATTGAAGCACTTGTTCCCTGCTGCAGATAGTCAAAATAATCAAGGACTTGGTAAAATGTTCTCGCACTCACAGATAAGTGTCAGTTTGGCTCGGGCTGTGGATTGGTCATCTGTAAAGTTGCACGTTAGATACACTAATGTCTGCTACACACAAATATTTTTAACAATCTCACTGTTTTTTAAGTCGGCACACCACTAACAACCGTATCACCACTTACCGTATCGTTTTTTTCTTTGGGCCCAGGTGCATAATTATCTTCGGGATACGAGAGAAACATCGATCTTTTTCTCTCTTGGCATCGGTAGACCACCCAACGACGCAGCAAGAGTGCACCATTTTAAGAGCAGCAAAGACAGAGCAGAACATGACACACTCGACACAATCATTTGCTTTTCTGATTGTGTCCGTTCATGTTCTCAAAACGCAAATCCTTAAATGTATGAGATGTGTCTTAAAGGTTCCAGGACTGATGTCACTTTAAATATATTTCAAACCCAAAACTAACTGAGTTTCTCACATCGATATGGGCCAGCTCAACATCACGAGATTATGAGGCGTGTGGTTCTTTCGGTGCGAGAGCAGTGTCTTCACCATGACGCTGAAAAGGTTTTCAGACTTTTTATCAAAAAGAACCTTTCACGGAGTGCTTGATGGCGTGGCACTGAAGGATGGGAAACCAGTTCCTCGAAGGGGAAAGCGTGTAGTTTGAGATTGGATTTGAAATATATCTTTTATGACACCAGTCCTTAAACTTTTCCGACACACCTCATACATAAGGATGAATGATCGCAACAATTAGATCGGGGTAGAGTAACATTTAAACCAGAAATCAAGTAAAAAACGTTCTGAGATTTGATACAGCACTGCTGTCAACTGAAATTGACGACGTCAAAGTGCCGTGGAGCTTGTATTGCGAACGTGCACCTGCAGAGTCCCTGGAATACACATTGGATTAATCTGTGTTCACATGTTTCTGTCTGCGTAGCATGCACTGACGCACAGCTCCACAGCCTGGCTGCGAGGCTCAAGGACTGGTTCGGAGTTCTCCACCTCGATGCCAACAGAGACCTCAAATCCACTGACAGCTCGGACTCAGCCACCGGACGTGAGTACATCAGCGCTCTGAAGTGTGTGAGTGTGGCCCATTTCTGTACAGCAGCTTTTTGATCCTCATGAGAGATGGTAGCGATGTTGACAGTGACCCTGCGCTGTTCTCTGTACTGTCAACATGTTTCAACTCAAACAAGCTAGACTCACGCAAAGACACACACAATGACACACTCTCTCGCCTGCTACTCAGAATCAAAACGGACAAGAGAGCCTGCGGGCTACACTAAAATCTTCACTTGAGTCCTGTCTCCACTTTTTGACTTTTTAGACTTTGACACAAGTATCTTGCCCATCTGCAAAGAGTCTCTGGGATGGATGTTCAACAAACTAGACATGAACTTTGACCTCTTGCTGGACGAATCCGAGCTGAGTGCCATTTATATGGACAAGTACGAGCTGTGCATGAAGCCCCTCTTCAACTCCTGTGACTCCTTCAAGGACGACAAGCTGTCAAACAACGAGTGGTGCTACTGCTTCCAGAAACCCGAGGGTGAGCATGCGTTTGAATGCCTTTTGGAAGGATAATTGCTCATAATAAGTCATGTCAAAATCGAACGCAGCTAAAAGTCATTGCGGACTAGTCACTTTTCACACAATGATCGTACCATTGAACGAAAGTAACAAAATGCTCACTCTGCATTTCACTTTACATCAATACCGGCTCTCTTGTGATGTTCCCCAGGGACCGTTATTGCACAGCCAGCAAAAAATATTTGGCACATTTCTCTTTCCTATTTCTGAGGACGGAGCGAAATGCAGAAAAAGCAAAGCGTCTTGACTTCCTTGTAAGCGGTGTAATAATGTTTGCTTGATAGCTGTATAGCACCAATTTTGGAACATCCCGAACAGAGCCACGACTACAACCCATTAAAACGTCAGAGTTCATTTCATTTGCTCACACTTTGAAGTGCCCTTTATTTGAATTTTGGGTAGATCATCAAATAAATCTAAAATGACACAATTGAAATCTGCAAGTGGCACAAGCATTCAGTCTGCTCTAAAAAAAAATGAAAGCGTGTTTTCATTTGCAGATCTTTGGGAAAGCGTAAACAAATGCATTAAGAACATGAAAAAATGGTGACAAGCAACGACAAATTGATGTGACGATTGCAGAGGGGGGAAAAAAGGTTGATGAGCCTCTTTGTGTGTAGGTTTGCCTTGCCAAGCAGAGAAGAGCAGGATCCAGAATCCGAGTCGAAGGAAGAGCCTCGTAGGTCAGTATACAGCTGTCATTGCTTAATGGCTACAGTATTGGATTGTACACTCCCATGCAGTACATTTTTGAAGGCAACGTGCTACTATAAGAACAATGAAAACACTGCAATCCAATCAACTGTCTGCACAAAGTGAAATGCTGCACAGTATTTGAATGTGAAATAGTAACGGCATTTTCTTGACGTGATTGCAAATTTGAATTACCGGTAGTACTTTTTTGGGGTGAAATATCTATTTGAATAATTTGTACAAAGCAGGCGTTTTTGGTGTTAATTAGTGCCATTTGAATTAATACTCAACCGCATCCTCTGAATCATCAGTTCAACAAGCATCAAAGAATTAATTAAATGACGAGCCTGTTAAAAAAAAAATGGTGTGAACAGAAAGTGATACACCAGAGGTTACGTGACATAAACAAGCTCACATTCCAAGCACAAAAGGCCTTATTTACATGTGTGAAAACACATCCAAATCTGCCAAATCCGCCAAATTACAGTTCATTTTGTTCTCTCTGGGAGTAGATGCAAATAGATGAATTTTAACACACGCAAATTGATTTCTCAAACGTGAGAAGAATTGAAACGGCTGACGCGTCTTCAAATAACACGTCTGAAAGCCAGATGCAAACAGTACAGTTGCATGACAGGGAGGTGCAGGCAAAATGAGAGAACTGATCTTTTCTGCGCATGGAAACATTTTTTTTCAAACGACAGAAACAAAAGTGTTCATAACATATTGTCAATTTGGCAATGCCATTTTGTAACTTTCCGAATGATCCAAAGGTTGACTCAGAGCCAGTTCAAGAAGGAGTCGTGAGGTAGCAAAAATGACAAAGCTCCTTTCCACTCTGCGTTCGCAAAGCGAGCGTATCGATTTCTCTCATGTTTTACACCAAACCATTCCTATTCCATCACTTCATGTTGGGCATGTGTCAAATGTTCCACGGTGAAAGGCATCAGTGCAAAACTCTTTAAAAAAAAAAAAATGGCGGACTGCACCACTTTTATACCTTTTGTCAACAGCGCATTCAATCTGTGAGTGTGAGTAAACGTACCATTTAGCCCTTGCCATTTGGAATCTTAGTAAATGAATTGCGTTCAACCTTGTACAGGTTCCACTGTGGAAAGTGGATGTCAATTTTCCATTTTGAGGAGTTTGTCACTGTAGGGCAGACAAGTGTAGATGCAGTATAGGATGAAAACGAAGTCCTGTCCGTCTGCAATCCAGTATAGAGCTTCCATTTTTTGTTGAGTTTCCGACTAAATTCTCCTGAGAACACTTTTCATTGAGCGCCATCTGTCCCAGCTGCACACATTGCAAACAACACAGTTTGAAAAATGAGTCTGGCCAAAAGTCTTTGTTTTGCGTGTTTGCGCTTGTGTGTGTTATTGAACGTGACTGCCTGCCTTAAAGCAGGATGTATGGCTGTTGTCCTACAGGCCTCTCGATACTAATTGCTGGGCGATCTCCCTCTGTGAATAAAAGAGCTTTGACATCTATCAGCTGGTCTCTTTCTACGCTTTTCCTCTTGTGTGTCCCTGAATCTTTCCCATGTGTTCTGTGGTCAATCTGCAGGTTACTATATTCCTCGCTGTACTGAGGAGGGCTACTTTAAACCGACACAGTGTCACGGCAGCACTGGACAGTGTTGGTGTGTGGACAAGTATGGTAACGAGATCGCCGGCTCCAGAAAGCAAGGCAACCCAAACTGCGGTAAGACGGGGACACGCACGCACACGCAAATACGCTTTAGAGATAGGCGCAGCTTTGGGTAACGTTGCCCTTCCGGTCTGTCTCTCACCGTAAGCAGTTTCTTACAGATTGACTGCTGTGTCTCTAACTTTGTGTTGTTTCTGATAAGCGGATTCATAAATGGTCTTGAACAAAGCCTCAACTTTCCGCTTTTATTCTCATACATCAGCAATTGTTTCGGCGAGCGATAATGTAAGCGATCCGCGGGTCACTCATGTCGGATTGTGTCTTCTTCTGATATTCTGCTCACGGGTGCAACTTTGATAAAACACCCATGCTCGGCAAGGAGAAGAATTTGTCATACTTGACAGCAAAGCACAACTGTCAACGTTTTCGGTCAGGTTAATGTGAATAAGAGTCCACATAACAAACAACCGACATGTATTGTCCTGAAGTATACAGTGAATGAAGAAAAATAATTGAACAACTTGGTATTGACGCATAAAGCAATTGTTTTGGCGGGGGTTTGTACCTCTAAAGATGAATAAGAAATGCTTTGTTATGCTTTGAAATCTCATATTTAAACAGTGATGTTTCTGTTCGGTGACCATTCATGTGTCTATATTTCACAGAAACGAATGTCAAATTTAAGGGGGAAGTCAACTCAAAATCAAACCGTTCTCAAACATTATGGGCGTTGCCAGCTCAATACGTTAAAGCCGAACCCCGCTCAACTGTCAGTTAAATACCACACATCTTAATTCTACCTCCATATCCGTAGATATTTGAGTTGTGAAAATATATCCACTTTAATTCCTAGGTGGCTTTTAGATATGCCATCGAGTCATTGCGACAATTTCAACAGTCAATCAAAAATGAGTGCGCTTTCACGTTTGCATTTAATTCATTTCTAGATTTCAAATATAAGCAATACACAGCTGGCTACAGCAGCACAGCCAAGCCTTAGCAAGGGTGTACTGTATATACAGTATACATTCCATAATCTGTATTTAATTTAATGTATGCTTGTGGCAAGAAAGCCAATTGTGGTAAATCTGTCAACCAAACGCACGGGTATTCTCGCCTATTACCTTTTTCTGTGGCAGTCCTCATCTTCCTTGCCAATCACGCCATTTTTGTGGTTCATTAAAAAATAATGCAATACAGTATGCTGGATGTTGAGCCTCAAAACCTGATAAAGGGATGCAGTTTTGTTGTAGCACCCCGGTAGATGTGCGGTGTGCATCGCTTGGTGTGCGGTGAAGATTTTTTGCAAATTGGCCCATTTCAGTCACTTTTGGCCGCATGGGTTATTGTGCAAGGGGCATATCATTTGAACATTCTTAACTATTATTCTAGTTGCAAAATAAGTTAACAACTTGATTTCCTTCTCCGAGAGATTAATAAAACAAAATTATGCTCTCCCTTAATTATGGTCATTTGATTCATTGGTTCATTGGGTATAAAGTTATGCGTCACATATATTTTGTCCTGGTTTTGCAAGTGATGTTTTGTTCATTTTTGATTTAGCTTTCATGGTATTTGATGATAGAACAAGGTGTCTGATGGCACCAATCTCCAAATACAGTGTAGGAAAGCCCCCGAATGAAAGCATCTCACATGTTCATTGAACTGAGGAACACTGCATTGTGACACGCATTTAACATTTATTCCAGTTTTAAATCACTGCTCTGTATTACAGTAAATGAAAAGTAGGTAGGTGGAACAGCACCATCTAATGGGGCACTGCCAATACATATGAGAGGCATTTAGTGTGTGCCGAATTTGTTTCAGATGAGGAACAGGAGGCTTCGGGAGATTTCGGCAGCGGCGGTGCGGTCATCCTCCTCGACGACCAAGAGGAAGAAGCCTCACAGGGTCGGCAGAAGAAGAGACGGGGTCGGATCCACCCCCGGCAAATCACTGAAGATGACGACGATGAAGAAGACGACAAAGATGACGAGATGGGCTACGTGTGGTAGCTCCACCCGCCCCCTTCGGTTCTGACACTGTCGTCGGCCATACCGGGAAAAGTCCAGCACAGATTTGAAGCCATTCCAGCATCTCCTCCAGTGGCCGTGACAGCAAGTCCATCTTTTCGCTGAACTCGCCCCTGTAAACTCCATCCACGTCTTTGTCCTCATCCGTATCTCTCTGGCCACATTTTCTCCTCTCCAAAATGTTTCTCTCAACACAGAAAGGAAACGGAAAGCCTCCTTCTTTTCGGCTCCTACCTGCCAGTGCGCAGTTAATATTCAAACATGGACTCACATTTCTCTTCGTCTCGATGGCCTTGCTCTTTTCTTGTCTGTTTGGCCCAAATACAAAAGCCAGTGTCTTGGATGTAAATATGGACAGAACAGTCCCCAGTGTAGATTCTAACATTCTTCTTCCATTCTGTCCGTATTCAATGATGTTCCTGCAAATACACGCTCCCTCTTTCTCTTTGCCATTTCACGGAAGATTGTAAATTATTTAACTGTTGATCTTGAATGTCCCAGAAAGACCAGGTAGCAATGCGATTTAATGATGTGTCGTTGTTGTTGTTGCTGCATGTTTCTCATCGTGTTCCTGTAAAAGAGAGATTTACCTGGCTTGGCTCAAAACAGAATGTGATGCCTATTTGGCTGCTACAATACTATGTCGCTATGTTGATGCTGTCTAGTGTCTTTTTTTTTTGTTGTTGGTTCTTCTCCCAATCTCAGGAGGTAGGAAGTTGCAATGCAGGGCGATAGCAGTGGACGCAGAGTGTCATAACAGCTATTTGTTATTTCGCCAGTACGTGAGCTTGGGTTGCTGAGACTGTGCACGGACACTCAGGAAAGTGCTGCCCCTGAGCTGGGAGGACTTAAGAAGTTGGGGGGAACAGAGAAGAGGCTGTATTCTGCCTCCCCACCCCATGTCAACCAAGTGAACTTTTCTTTGTTAGTTTGACAATTTAAGTAAAGTTGCACTTTGGGTGTCTTTTGAACCTTACTGGTCTGGCTGTGTGTTCATGAATATCATTTGTCTTGTCACAAAATTTTGAACATGTTCAAAATTTCCTGCCGATTAAGAAAAAGCCATTTATGAGCGTTAGAACTGTTGCCACACGTCCGACAAACATCTTTGTGATTGTTTTTGACCTTGAATGAACCCTGACAAAAAAAATCAACATTCGGGCCATGTGCAAACCCTTGCTGCTCAGAGAGATCCGGGCAAAAAGCGTGGTGAGGTGACCTCTGCCTTGAGTAGACAAAAGACAGAACAACATTTTGAGAATCCATCGTTGCCTTGAAATAGAAGTTGAATTTGTTCCGTGACTTTTCAAGCATTACCAAAAACAGCAGCAAAAATGCTTAGGTGTATTTTAAGAAAAATAGCACTCTACAATATTACACTTCATAAAAACATGCAATAATGTCATAATTCAATAGAATGTAAAGAATTCAAGGGGTCATATCATGCTAAATCAACTTAAAATGCTAATTCGTCACCACAAACAGCCAAATATGCTGTTTTCCCAGCATTCATGCGCCTCTGAGCGTTCCCGTTCATTCCTCCACTCTAAGCATCAGCGCTGCCATATCTGAGAAAACAACTGGGCCCTCACTTTTGTACGTCACAAAGTGACCAGCCACCCCGGTGCGGACTAAACACACCCGATTTTCTCACAGCAGCCACCAGTGAACCACTTTTATTTTTGTAGCACAGTTCAGCTCCTTTCACATTCTGGTTCCCATTCACTTGAATAGGAGGTCTCCACCCACCAGAGCGGAACATCGCCGTTTGCCCGGCCCGACGGCTGTGGCTCCCGCTTCTGGGATGGCAGCTGTGGGCAGACGCCGAGACGCCACAGAGTGAAGACGGTGAGCCATTGACTCTGAGGGGCAACCAAATGAATGACAATGATCTTATAGTGTTCTGTGGTGTGATGCTGTTTTGGAATTATGGAAAAGCGGCGCTGCCTAGTAAAAACAACTTTTCAATACTTTTTCTTAGGTGGTGTGCGCAGCAACCAGCTTTAGGATGACGTCATGAAATGGGTACCGTAGCCTTACGAGGAGGAACAGGGTTTGAGTGAACCAGGCGTCTTACTTCCAGGTTTGAAAATTATACAGAAAAAACAAATCTAATAAATACTCATATAGATGCTTATATTATTAACTGTGGAAAGCTTAAAAAAGTGCCTTTCAATGTTTTATGTTACACTTTTTTGCTTCAGTTCAATCAACATTGTGCTGCTGCTCCTGTTGTGCCGACCTTGGCCACAATATAATACATAGAGAGAGATCTGGAGACACGTAGATGCTGTTCCTTAGTCCGTATATCTATGGCAATTCACATTATGCGTTAACATTAGCATTAACCTAGTAGACTGAAAGGCTAAGCTACTGTATGTGGACATTTTAAATACACAAAGTGTAAATCTCTTTGTTTTAACTTCATTTGGGAGTGGCAATAAAAAGCTTAAGATAAGATAAGAAAACCTTTATTAGCTTAAGCCTCTTTTTGAGGTATTGTTCTAATTGGATCCTGCCAAAGTGCTGCTTCTTGTGAAGTGATGCTCGATAATACCGCAAAAATTGGTCTCTTATTTCGAAAAACTTGTAAGTCGAAATATTCGTGTCTCAAGGCGCCTCTGTAATGAGAGATACAATTTCATCGAAAAATTTCATGCAAGGAGAGAGCTCCAATACTACCTGATGACTGCTTTCAAAGAAGTGTCTGTTTTTCTCCTTGGGCAAGGTCATTTTATAAGCATATGAAAAGGCAGTTATCTTCTGCCTCATGCAACTGCCACCCCAAGCCACAGATATGTGGCTTTGTTTTACAGCAAAGAGATAATACAATATAAGGGAGAGAGACAGAGGCCAGGTCTGCTTTTTTAATCTTCCGACTAAAACAAAAAATTATACGAGGCTAAAATTAACATCAAATATGTTTTATAAGGAAAATAATTGCAAAGCCTAAAGAGTACAGATGCCTGTGATGTGGATAGTTAAATGGGACCGCTGATCCCATGGGTTTGAAAAATCCCACTCCACAAGCGTATGCCAAAAGAAAATGTGTTGTTTCTACCAGCTTTTCTAATATACCATCTAAACATGGCTATGGGATAGGTTTGTTCTTCCCACCAACGTGCAATTTGAGCTACAAAAGAGATGTGTTCATCACACACCAGGCACTCACATTCAGCTATTATGTGCTCATTATGTCCCTCTGCACTCCCACTCACTTCAATCAGTTAGTTATCCTCAGGGCACTCTTCCCCTGTTTCACCCGCTTTATTTGTTACTTTTAATTTTTCCAAAAAGGCTCCTTAGTGGAGACCTGCAATTGTCTGGAAGCGTCACATACATATCTATGGTAATAAATATTTTGTGTAAAGTGTATTGTTACACAACACAAAAAGGCTATAGTGAGACAAGTAACTTTTATTACATCGTTGTAAAGCTTTGCCGCAAGGTTCGCTAAACTATATCCACCAATGGGTTGCATGCAAAAAAAAAAATGTAAATCACAGATGTCCTCTTCATATTTTTCACATTTAGTTTGTGTGTGTGTGTGTGTGTGTGTGTGTGTGTGTGTGTGTGTGTGTGTGTGTGTGTGTGTGTGTGTGTGTGTTTACACATACTAAAACCAGTCCAATGTAATTCTAGATTTGCTGAGCAAATTGTCCATCCATGCATTTTCAAGTTCATCGCTTGATTATTAACTGGCTCTGTTTTAAATAATTCAAATCCCACTGTGTTTGAGGTTTAAGCGCTAACTTTGTATTGCTGCTGTTAGCCACCCTGCAGGTCATGTTTATTGTATTTTTTATCTACTGTACTTTGCTCTCAACTACTGCTTGCTGCGTCTGAAAATGATGTGAAGGAGGATTGCAGTCTGATCACTATGGGCCAATTCTATTCATATTCCTTTGTTGTCATGCCAGAGAGTATCGCACAGACTAATGACTGGAGATATCTCTCAAGCAGCTTTGCGCCTCGCCGGCAAAATGTCAGGATGCCTTTTACTGGCAGTCGTCATCTTGTCTTTTTGTTGTTGTTATGCTGCTTAGATGTGACATCCGTCAGTACTTTATGTAGGACATCTTTATGACGCACTTTAATAATGTCAATCCAGAGTTCACTGCACTACAATAATCACAAAACAACGCTTTGAGTTTGGTCAGGAAATAGGAATTTGATGTTTTAAAAAAATGCTAGATTCAAACTCATTTGTATGATTCACTGGCTTGATTGCGTGTGCGTGAAGTGCTTGTCCTCATTTGGGCCGTGGGTAACTGGAGCTCAATTCATCTGGCATTGGACGCTCGGCGGGAGTCAGCATGGGCTGAATCACAGGACACATACAGACAAACTACTCAGACTTATGGGCAAATTAGAGTCTTTAATTAACCTAACATGCATGTTTTTTTCATGATAGGAGGATTCCAACACAAGCACAGGGACAACATGCACACTCCACTCGGGAAGGTGAGAGCCGAGATTTAGATTTCCACCGTGCTGCCCACAAAGAAAAATCATTTGCATGTTTTTGAATCGGTTTTCAATCTTGAATTTGTCAGACAGTGATAACCCCCATCTCTGCCCCCCCCAACCCCAACCACTTATTATTTTATACCCGTTTGACGAGATGGTGTTAAAAGACTACTTTTGTTTGAATGAATAAATGACCAACGGTGGAACACCATATGTAATCAGACAATATAACAATACTCACAGGCATATATTCTTGCGAGAGATGACTAATATCACAGTACCTTACCGAGTCATTTGGGAAACTCTTCTTTGGGTGTCTCTCAATGAATGTTTTACATTGCACCCAAGTGGCCAAGGTGTGCACACTGAAAGGAGGAGCACAATATCTGTTGAGCTGAAGCCAAAAAGTTGGATACAGTGTACATTCATTCATCTTCCGAACCGCTTTATCCTCACTAGGGTCGCGGGGTGGTGCTGGAGCCTATCCCAGCTGTCTTCGGGCAGTAGGCGGGGGACACCCCGAACCAGTTGCCAGCCAATCGCAGGGATACAGTGTTATTTTAAAACTTAAAGGGGCAGCATGCATTTTTTATTTTATTTTTCAATGTTCATTCATTGTAAAAATCCACTATTAAGTATTATCACAAGACTGTCCGTTTTTTTTTTTAATATATATAATCGTAGGTCTCATAATAGCTCATGATATTACATGGGTTGTGCTTCACTTTAAAGGAGTTTGATATCTTTCTGCTACTGATACCCAAAGGAGACATAGCACAAGATCACAAATTTGCTGGATGAATTACTACAGCTTGCATGCAATGCACTTACTTCATCATTTGAGGGATTTCCGGTACTAGAAGTCGTTTGTGATGACATTTTGCTTGCACTCCTGCTGACATTGGTGGTAAACCTTTGAAGTGTGGTCTCTCTGAAGCACCATAGCACATTAAACTGAGGTTGTTGCATTCTATTAGTTTTTGTTTTTTTGGGTTGTTTATTGGCACCCCTGTGGTCCAGTGGTTAGTGCGTCGAACTCACTGTGCAGAGGTCGTAGATTCACTGCCATCTCCGGCCTCCCTGTGTGGAGTTTGTATGTTCTCCCCGTGCCTATGTGGGTTTTCTCGGGGTACTGCGGTGTGCCCTGCGATTGGCTGGCAAACAGTAAAGGGCGTCCCCCGCCTACTGCCAGATGACAGCTAGAATAGGCTCCAGCACCCCCCGCGACCCTTGTGAAGATAAGCGGATCGGAAAATGGATGGATGGTTTATTGGGCAGGGGGGAAGGCAGGAGACTGGAACGGATTATTGGAATTTCCATTTAATTGAGTGGGGAGAGGTGATTTAGGATATGAGTTTTTTGCAAGGAGACTGAAGTAATCACACACACACACACACACACACACACACACACACACACACACACACACACACACACACACACACACACTTGAAGGCACCACTGTCACTGAATTTACAGTATGGCTTGGCCATGAGAGAAAATGGCCACTTTCCCCATCTCTGCTTGCAGTTACTTCCACTTAAAGTCCATGCTGGTTGCATAATCAAAGACCGACTGTGACCTACGATCACTTGGGAAAAGCAATTAGCCACCTGGCAAAATTCAAAGCAGTACACCGTTGCCCCGCGGATGAAACTGAAGGTTCACCACTCTGAAATTTCCCAGAGTAATTGGCATATAAATTGTAATGAGTAGGGATGATCCCTCGCTAATCTGCCACATCCCACCACTTCTACTCACGGGCCCTTTCATGCTCAACCAGCTCGGAGCATGTGAACCCTGTCGTGCTGGTACTGTGCAGGATCATTTGCATCCAAGTGCTGACCGACCCCTCCCACAGTTGGAAAGTGCTCACACTGTTTTCATTTAACGCTCTGCCAACCAGGCAGTTCCCCTTGACAGCATCAAATTGTGGATGGGCCCCTCAGTAAATGAATTGAATGAGAAATTACTCATGGGCAGTTGCAGTGATGATAAATTCAATTGAACATTTCAAATGAGGCAACCAAATTAAAAGGAATTTCACACCTATAATTGTGCTTTCCATTAGTCTTAGCTATTTGTTGCAAATGCATTTGTTTCCATCAACTTCATCTTTCGTGCCGGGATCACTAATTCTATTGTAATTGTTCATAAAAGTTATTCATGCAACGCAAATATGACTTTCTAAAAACAGAGTGACACCAGTGCCCTCTGGTGGAACTTGTCATTGTTTCATTGCCACTTGCCATTTAAGCTTATAGCATGTTGACGCAAAGAGCATTAAAGTGATGCAACAAAAATTGTATTTCAAAAAAAAAAAACAACAAAAACATAAAATAGTTACAAAATCTAGCAACAAAGTAGTCGACTGGTTTGGTTGTCCATCTCACAGAGCAGAGGTGCAGGGTTTGATTCCGGCTCCAGCCTTCCTGTGTGGACATTGCATGTTCTACCAGGGCTCGCGTCGCATGGGTTTTCTCCGAGTTCTCTGGTTTCCTCCCACTTTCCAAAAACATGCATGGCAGGCAAAAGGAACACTCTAAATTGTCCCTAGGTGTGACTGTGAGCGCGAATGGTTGTTTGTCTTTGTGTGCCTCGCGATTTGGCTGGCAACCAGCTCAGGGTGTCCCCCACCTACTGCCCGAAGACAGCCGGCATAGGCTCCAGCATGCTCCAGCATGTGAGGATAAAGCGGATCAGAAAATGGATGGATGCATGGATGGATGGATGGACAGGGCCAAGTACTGAATCTCCTCAGTAATAATTGAAATCATCAAATATGCAGAAAATAAATCAGTGAATTTACTTTTGGTCTTTCTTCCCACATCCCACAGAAGAAAATTAACAAACTAGATTTGGGTTAAGAAGTAACACGAATGTTAAACTACAATTAAAAAAGATTAGAATTATCATATTTCATGTTAAAGTTTCATTTTATGAAGCAGGGATAGGCAATAAATGTCAGTTTTCCACTGTATTTTAATACATATTACAAATACAGATTACAGTCATCAACTTTTAACGTTTTATTTAATATCACAGTATAGTATCCTTTTATTGGTGGGGGGGTACCTATTTACAGTTGCATCAAAATAGTGATTAATGAAGTGAAAGCATAAAGCATCATTTTGCAGAAAGAAAGGCAAACATCAACCTCACCTTAGAACTATCATGAACTTCCATATAACATTTGACTTTTTCACATTAAAAAAAAAAAAACTAAGTTTGGAAGAGAAGACCTCTTTGTCATTATTTTGTATAAAAACCTTTGGAATTTGGCTGTTGGCATAAGGCCTACATGCTGTTCGTTGTTGTTTCTGATTTAAGTAAAATGATAAGTCTGTTAGAACAACTGACAAGATCAAAGTTGGCGAAAAGCTCCTTTCACCAGCGGTTACTCAGAGCAGCGACTTCCATGTCTGCAATGCGTGGCAGTCGACCGCTAGCACCACCTTCCAGGTATCCAGACTTGACGCTGGATGTGTCTGAAGGTCTCCTCTTGCTCTTGTTTAGCTCTGGAAAAGAAGATTTCGTTTTGTTTCGATGACGGATCACCACTGTAGATGAAGAACTCAACTATGATATTACCTGAGATGGCCAACAGCATCTTGCGTCTGGCTCCAAATGTGGATACGCCCACTTCCTTCAGATCATCATCAGACAGTGTGAGGAAAGTCTGGTAGTCAATCTAAATAAACACCGAGGTTATTATAGTACATGAAAACAAGGAAAATAAACGGAAACTGCATTTTATGTGTATAAAACTAGCTAAAACTAACTTAAATTACAGCTCAAATGTCTTTTGTTTTTGTCTTGAGTTTGCAGGGTTTATTTTAATTCTATTTAGTTCAGTATTGCTGTGTGTTCTTCCAGATGAAGGAAGGTCAACCAATTGTTTGAGAATTGAAGTTTACAGAGGGAGACATTTACAACTGTCCGTTACTAGCCACGGAAAGTCCGTCAGCCCATCTCTGATGGACTCATGTTTTTGCTGGTGGACTGACGCCTGATGGTTACTTTGAAACATTGATGGAATAACTGATATAAAAGGAGCATACTGAAAAACCAAGGCTCTTTTTGTTTTTGTTTTTTGTTTTTTTGTACCTCTTGTTGCTCCAACACATCAATGTACTTCATCAACCCCAGCTGGCTGAGGAGCTCCGGTAGATCATCCATTATCTGGGAGGAAGGGCTACGCTGACTGCAGGTGGATGCCCTCCTTGATGGGCACAAGTCATCAAAATAGTTGCAGCCCGGGAAGCCCTCAGCTGTAGGCGTCGAGGGGTTAAAAGCTAAGCCTTAATATCTGACTTTGTCATACTAGTACGAAGAAAAGGACTGACTGGGACTCACTGGGTTTGTCATTTCTGTTTCTGTTGGATGCGAACGTGGGGAGGTGGGCGGAGGATGAGTAGGAGGCTGTTGGTGGGGAGGATGGAGAAGAAGCAGACGAGGAGGAAGATGAGGAGGCGGGCTGCGATCCGCGTCTGTCCCTCCAGTTGTCCGAATTGCTCCCATGAGACGCTGCCCCGCTTTGGTTGGCCCATGACTGCAATGGCGCAATGATTTAATTTCATTTTCAAAAGTAACTTTCACTTCACTTCACTCTGAGTTGAAATTATGTGACCTTTTTCTCCTGTAAAATGTGCCTTGGTAGGGAAACACTATAGAAATAATCCGTCACTATTCACATAAATGAACAGAATTTTACATTTGCCCTGTTGTTTATTTTGAAGGTCACTTGGCATAAAAAAGGAAAAAAAATGCTACTAAAACAACCAACTCTTAACCACCGTGTATTTTTATGTACCTTTACTAGCAGCACGAACACCATAAGAACAACAACCGTAACGATGCTTTAATATGGTCACTATGCTTTAATATGGTCACTATGATAACATACAGCAGACACCAGAAAACAAAGTGCATGAATGATGGGAGCAACACAAAAACTGGGGTATTTTGTAGATGTAAAATAAACCATAAACATGTGGCCACATTTCAAATAACGATATTAGCAATGTATTCCTGAAATGCACTAACAATGGGCACCACAGAACAAATGCAAAATGCATGAAAATACATAACTCATGATAACGCAAACTCAGGAGCCGCTTGCTGCAAATTGTGCAGAGTTGGCTTTGAACGTGGTCTGGTTTGGATTTTTTTTTTTTTTGGTTTAGTTTTTTTTTTTTACTCATTGAACAGAACGAATCTGGTCACTTTTCAAAATAAAATAGCCTCATAAATAAACAACTGCCTGGCCGCTGCATCCCAGTGGTTGGGAACTACTGTTTTTAAGCAAATCAATAAAGAAGTAAATACCTATGAAACATTTTAAAAGTTAAATGCAACCAAGCTGTACTCAACAAATGCACTGTCCAAAGTTGAATCCACTGTAACAGAGTCTGCACATTCAATTCAGTAATTCTTCTATCTACCACTAGTGGGATCCCGCTGACAGCTAGTGGTGGGATTTCTGAACAACAAACTAACGACTGCTGGCTCTGTACGAAATATAAAATACATACTAGTGCCATCGACTGAGGCACTATACGTGCCGCCGCCACTGCGTTACAATAAAAGGCAGCAGAGCGTTCATCAAACTCCAGCGAGTCAGATAATCTCTCCTCCATTTGAGGGTTTTTTTTTTAAATGAGATGGAGAGTTCAAGTAAGCAGGATGATGTGACTGCTCGTGCTGACCAAAGAGATGCAATCAGGGCGTGAATAATTGAGTATTCAAATTCTCTTTGTTCACCACTCAGCGAGATAGCAAACAGATCGAGAGACACGTCAACATAATATTTCAAGGGATCTTTAAAAACACTACTTAGCACCATTTGTTGAAAAACCCGTGAAAGTTGCCTCTTTTGATCTGGCTCATTGCAGATTTCTACCTGGCCGCTGCTTGTGCTCAAGTAGGGTTTGTAGCTTCGACGGCTGATGTTCCGCAGCTCCTTTACAGCCTCCGCTGGCATGGACTTGGAAAAACCAAGACCGCTCCAAGTGTCTGTGGGTGTCCGCACTTCAGTCACCACTGGCTTTCTCTGCATCGCTGGAAGAAGACAACACAGAGATAACTCCAAAGCACTCTTGCGTGAGTAAAAGTACAAATAACTTGCAATGTCTTTGGTAGTTGTAAAAACCGCTTGGTTGAACTGGTGGTATACAGGATCACTGCCAATGTGTTTAACTATGCTGCACATTGGCAATTATTCTTTAAGAATTGAAGACAATTCCAGCACGCCCGCGAACCTTGTCAGGACAATCGACTCGGATAATGGATGGATAGATGAGTTGTTTGTTTTGAAATCGTACCACTGGTCAACAGCAAATTTTAATCAGCGATGGCTTGATGTGTCCTTCAAATTTGATGCTGATTAGAAAATATTAACTTTTTTTCTACGACGTCAAGTTTTTTGAGCTATTTTAATTTTTCTTTTGAAGCATGTCCAATAAAAGATTGCGTAATACAGATTTTACCATACATTGTCATTTATAGCTATGATGTTTCATGAAAAAAAAAAAAAAAAACCTTCCGCTCATGAATGAATATATGACTATATTATGGTACTTATTATTATTATTATTATTAAAATGATTCCATTCCCATTGATTCAGTGGGATTATGATTTGATTTACCGGTAATATGATACACGTTTATTAATATGCAACAACAGATCTTCAAACCCAAACTATCCAAGTTAATTCCATACAAAGAAACAACAAATTGTCAGCAACATCAAATCGATTTATGTCTGGTGTTCATCGCTCATAAAAGATAGTTTGATACGTATCTTGATACATGTGGTGTGATACGATTCAAAGATGTAACAATTTTAAAATGTGACGATTTGAACCGGTTCATCAAATCAAAACCAATTTTCCGATTCAAATCTTTTTTTTTTAATCTACCCATGTTATTTAGGTACATTTTTTTAATGTAAATGAAATGTACAATACGTTTTTATGAAATAATTTAAGTATGGTTCATTTAAATTTTCTATGTTTAGGAGCCTGATAATGTTCAAATTGTCCAACTGTGTTAGAGTGACTTAAAACAATGAACTATACTTTTTAGGAATAAAATCTCAGCATCATTTTTGATCAACACATGGGTCTTTTTGTATTATTTTTGAGGTGGTACTTGGTGCAAAATATTTGAGGGCCACTGGTGTGGGCTGTTACGTGAGTATATGACATTTGCTGTAATGTACTTGAGAATAGGAAGTAATTGGTATTCAATGTCCTTAAACACTGGAAGAAAAAGTATTTTTAACGTGTGAGCATTTGGAATCTCGATTATGTTTTTACTTACTTTAAATGCTTGACATAATTAACTGTGGTGTACAGTGGTTAAAGAGATGTGTTGTTGGCGAATGAGTATTTACTTTTCTGAGGACTTTTTACTCCCCACCATTGAATATAGATATGTGTGCTCTCTATCCTTACATTTTTATCATCAACTAATTTAGCATTTTCTGTCACGTTGTTTTGTTTCGCTCATGCATGACCTGTTGTCAGCCCAGTCGGGATTATCCTGTCAGAATTTAGCTAACGGCAAAACTGTGTTTCGGGATTTTGTTTTTCTTCTCAGTATGAGCTCTATGCAAATTAATAAAAGAGGGAAAATATTTTGTGGGTAGGGAAGATGTCTATGTGACAAGTTTTCAAAACCTGTATTGTACATTGCTGACAGTAAAAATGCATTTTTTTACTTTTATACTTAACAGAAGTACAATTCAGTCTTTTTTTTTTTTACGTTCCCCTATTTATATGGGAGTTGATAGGAGTCAAATCAATGCTTTTTTTTTTTTTCTGGGATCTGAACTTCTATGCGGTATCCAGTGTGAGTATTTTTGCCACTTTTCTATCTTACGCACAGTGTGGTGCTGTAATTCTGACTTGGTCAATATGAAGTTGTTGGAAGACAAATCAATAAAAAATAAAATAGCATTTGATAGACAGCTCAAAAAAGCTGTGGGAGACTAGTCATGGCAAGAACAAATCAATGCAGTCTGTCCATCACTGCATTTGTTCCCCCTCTACTTCCAAAATTCACAGAATGGACAAAGTCAGTTCAGGTGTTAAATAATTCATCTGGAAGAATACTTCTGGTTGCCAGTGTGCAGCATATTTAATCAAGCTCAAATTGGTGAAATTGAGACACACAAATGAAAAACAAGCAACACCGCAGCACGAAACACAGAGATAGAAACCGAGTCTGTCAAACCTGCTTAAGCACACACCACTGCCCAGAGGGTGTGCATCCATGGAGTGGAATATGTGTGTTTAAATGACTAGAAGGCAGATGGCCCATTCAAACAGCTAATTCATAATACCATAATAAAACAACACTGAGGCAATTTTGGCCGATTTCACTGCTAATCTTCCCTGTATCTATCTTTCTGTATGATGGATGAAGAAGCATTGCGTGTGTGTGTGTGTGTGTGTGTGTGTGTTTGTGTGTGTGTGTGTGTGTGTGTGTGTGTGTGTGTGTGTGTGTGTGTGTGTGTGTGTGTGTGTGTGTGTGTGTGCGTGTGCGTGTGTGTGCCTGTGGATTTGATTATAATGTGTGGGATTCTTTGCGCAACGGGCTCGCATCCTTTTAAAAAAGTACAAAAGTATTGGGACACTGGGCCACTACACATCCAGGATGTCAACATGGAAACTAGTAATAAGTAGCTTTCTCCATTTTTTTTTTCAGCTTCAGGCAGACTTGAATTGATTTGTTGGACACGAATGACTCACTAAACATGTCTGCCTGATTGGTTAATTCATTGATGAAGTGATTTGACTTTGCAGTGCAGTACACGGTGGACACAGATCAATGAATATAAGATCAGCTTTGCTCTAAACTCTTTGCTTAGCATCAGAAGACACAGTTTAAGACCTGAAAAGGAATTAAACATTTAGAGGCACTAACCTCTGGTCGCCAGCAATTTCTTCTTCTCATAGTCATAAACCTACAGAGCACAAACGGGATATAAAGTAGGTAAATAATGCATGGAGTTGAAAATCGATTCCATCCCTCTGAATGCAGCCATGTTAAACCCCATTTACGTCATATATACCAATACTTACACCACCACCTACAAGCACCATAGTGGAAAGCCTGTTTATATTTTTGCAAATTTTGGAGTGTGAGGTGTTACATAGAAGTTCTCAAAAAAGGCCAGAAATCAACCAGAAAGCGCCACATGCAGGTACAAACATAAAAATTGTGAACCATGTCTTCCTTGTATGCTTCTTTTAAATGGTCCTTGACATGAGTTTGAAGCAATGTATGCACCCAAGCGTTAATTTGCACAGCTGTCAAGTACATTAGAGCAGTGAAAAGAAAGTGCTGTGTGTTCTTTTACACCTCCGATTCCGAGACATCTGCGCAAACATCCCGGGACAGCATCACGTCTCTCCTAAGGCTATTCCTCCGCTCCATCCTCCCTCGCTCCATTTCTGCATTCAGCATCCTTGTGCAATCAGGAGATAACACACATGCACAAGGATTAACTTGGGTGGTTGTGTAGAAGCAAACAAAGCAGCCCTATTCACACAACGCAACAACATCAAGTACAGCAGACATGTCAAGGGCAGCATTTAGACTCAGGATAACCATGGAATGTACACACAGCTAAGCTATATTCAGTTTTTTTTAAAAGGCAACTAGTTGAGGAGAGATACTATTCCTGGGTTTTCTGCGGCTTCTCTGGCTTATTTCCATACTCAAAAAACAGAGGTTCCTTACAGTGGATATAGAAAGTCTACACACCCCTGTTCAAATGCCAGGTTTTTGTGATCTAAAAATGAGACCAAGATAAATCATTGTTGACTGTTCCAATCGTTTATGTGGCCTACAATCTGTATAATACAATGGATTTTTTTTTGTGCCTATATGTTTTCGAAAAACGAAGTTAAAAAACATCTGAAATCATGCAGTTGCACAAGCGGGCGCACTTTCATAAATGGGATGTTGCTGTCTTCAGAATTAACTATCACAGTCAATCTCATTTTAAATGTGATTCTGCACACAATTGCCACCATTCAAAGTTCCTCTGTTTGCCCACAAAGTACATCTCAGCGGTTCTAATAGGCTTTCACCGACTTTTTTTTTTTTTTTTTTGCTTTTTGCTTTTTTTCAGAAGAATAACGGTTTTGTGCTCACACTGACTGCTATTTCAGAGTGCTCATTATTCCTCACCTGTAACCCTAATGAGAACAAGTGGTGTAGAAAATTGATGGATGAATGACTAAATGAAATAACTGAGCAAATGAGGTCAACAGGCTAACTATTATAAAGGTGCAAACCCAGGACATTAAATTTTTGGCAACAGTCTGCCATCTCAGTAGTCATGATTGTCTTGACATTCACCTGCAGGTAAACGCCTGCCCTGTAGAGTGGCGTCGGGCTTGGTTGAAAACTTTGCTCATCTCTGGACCCTGTAGACTCCCCCTCCGACCCATCATTGTCACCCTAGGGCCAGTGGAGATGTTGATTGCATCCTCTAATGATGTCATCATCACCATGTCCTTCGAGCTCTCATCATCCGATTGGCCAGACTGGTCATCATTTTCGAGGATCTAAACAGAAAGGCCATCTTGAAAACAGAAAATGACCCTTCGAATTTGTTTGTTCTTTTCTTCCAGCGGTGAAAGTTATTAAACACCTTCTCCAGTGGACGACTGTCTGTTCCCTTCAGTCCTGCCCGCACTTCGTCAGTGGGAGAGGGTAGCCCGGGTGGAGGTGAGGGGCGAGCCTTTGTACCACTTTGAACCTCTGTAATAGGTGCAGGGATGGGGCCTGTTTAAGATAGGGAAGTTTTTTGAAAATGGCATTTGATTGGGATGTCAGTCTGTCCAAAAATGATGAGCCATAGTATTATGACTACTTAAGCAATATAATGAGATCCAAAACCAGATAGGCAAATGTAATGTTCAATTTTGAGTGATACAGTACTGCCAGAGATGTATTAATTTAACAATCGCTTATAATCATTCTTGTAGTTTCAGTGCAACCGTGTGGGAACTATACTTGTCACCTTGTATCTTTTTTAACTCCTATAAAATTTCTATCAGCACTAGATTTTAGTTGAGTGTAAATATTCATGAATCCAATTCAATACAATACATCTTTATTTATATCGCGCTTTCACAACAGCTGCAGCTGGAACAAAGCACTTTACTGAACATTCAACATAAAATGCTAACTGTCACCTATTATAAAATTCTAATGAGCAGACAATAAACTGCATACAAACAAATGATGGGTGAGAAAATCCAAGAATTTACAAAACTTAAAAAAGTATTCGAACACTTACATCGTGCGTGAGCTCACCATGTTCCGAAAGACGCAGCTGCTGTAGTAACATGTTGAGCCAATAGCTGGTCAACTCATTCCCAGCCAGAATGGGATCAGGGGCCACATTGGTTACCTTGGTGGAGTCATAAGAATCCAAGCCCAGCAACAGCCGACGGGCCTCATAAAGACACTGGATGTTCCTTTCGAGACCTTTCACCACCACCGACTGTAATAGATATATACAGGCAGTAATATTTAAGAAAAAAAGCACAATCTATGTAAATAAGGGGAATGAAAGTAAAGCAAAATACAAATCGGTATGACTGAGAGATAACGCTAGGGAAGGATGCACAATTGAACAGTGTAAATAATATACCTTGTTGGTCTGCTTTACTTTGGGCTTGACACTTATGAAGACTCCAAGGTTTTGCATCATCTGAGCCAGCGCACAGGGATCTGCCTCCACATCTTCCCGCATGTCAAACATCAAGCACACAGGCAGACAGTCCTATGTGTACACAGACAAAAAAAAAATAAAAATACACAGACTCAAATACTTTTTGTTAAAAAACATGACACTTCACCAGATACCGCCACCTGCAGCTGTTTCTTCGAGACACTGACACCACTCTTCTGAGTTTATTATTGTGGTTGTAGTCTGCCCACCTATAGTGTCACACTAATGACTCAATGCCAAATGGCTAACTGCTTATGTCGGTATGGTATCTCACCACTATCTGCTGTTTTAGTGTGAACAATTCTCACTCTGTGCTTCTTCCTCAAGCTTTTGTGTAGACTTCTGTCAACCTTTGTCACATGCAGCAAACGCAAAAACATGGAGGAGAGAATACATGTATTTTCCAATCTTCTTATCCTCACAAGGGTTGCGGGGATGCTGGAGCCTGTCCCAGCTGTCTTCGGGGCAGTAGCCGGGATACACCCTGAACTGGTTATCAGACAATCGAAAGGCATACATAGATAAACAACCATTCGCACTCACAATCACGCCCAGGGACGATTTAGAGTGTTCCAGTAACCTGCCAAGCATGTTTTTGGAATGCAGGAGGAAACCGGAGTACCCGAACATGCAAACTCCAAACAGGAAGGCCGGAGCCAGAATCAAACTTTACACCTCGAAGCTGTGAGAGGCAGACGTGCTAACCAGTTGCCCTCCGTGCCGCCCTGCAGAATATATAATACACTTTAAATTCCTCCGAAGCATTTGTGCAGCTCTTGTTTATTCTCCATGCTCAGTTGAACCCTTCACCATTTTGCCAAGGAATTTCAAAGACTGTTTGTTTTGTGCTCCCATGTTTGTGTATCGCAGTGTGAATGCAGTGTGCTACACAGAAGTCTGAAATACGAGTGCAGAGAGAGGATACAAAACAATATCAAAAAAAAAAAAAGAAAATACGGGGGGGGGGGTGTTGACGATGATTCCGAAATATGACATTTTATGGATCGGAATGGCTCATCGCTCAGTTAGCACCATGCAAACTGTTTTCATTTTCCAGTATAGTTTTACTTTGACTTATGAGTTCCCTAATCTTTTCTTTGAGTTTCAAGCTGTCGCTTCGTGTTTTTTGGTGTTGTTCTTGCCCTGTAGTAAACGTTAAGCAGAGTGAGATTCAGACATGCCACTGCTTGTTTGAAGTTAAAAAAAAAAAGGAGAGGATATTGATTGACTGTCATATATTTAACGATACAATGATGGTTTTAAATACTGTTTAAATACTGTAAACTATATATATATATATATAATTTTTTTTTTTATATACTGTCACTGATCCACGATAGTACACACACAAAATGAAAACACTCATAAGAAGCATGGAACAGATTCTAACACTGAACTAATCATGCCACATACAGCCAATCTGACTGACTGCAGCTCATGATGTCACTCAATGGGCCACACTCCTTAAAAGGATGCATCAAAACACTAACACAGTGTGTGTGACTGTCAGCTCAATTACATTCGCTTTCATTGTTTGATTCTCCATCCAGCAATTTTCAATTCTTCCTGTTCAGGGTCACAAGCAGCTGGAGCCTATCCCCGGCCGCAGTACATCCTAGACTGGTTGTTAGACAAACACAGGGCACATCTTAGACAAAGAACTATCCCAGCACTGAGTGGCAACTGAACCCAAGCAGCCTATACCAGTAAGGCAAATGTCCCACTACCCCGTCAATAACCTATGTTTTATTTTTTTTGAACTTTTAATTTTACAATAGAGTGCTACTGTGAAATGTTTCCCAACACTGTGACATCGGAAGTTTGCCATTTGGCATTGAGTCAAGAGCGTGGCTTCTAAAATCTTGTTTTGTCATTGACAAAATTCACACATTTTCACCATTGACTTTTTTTTCAGACAGCCACTAGAAACATACCATGAGCTGCTGCCGGGCCAGACACACTCCATCAGGGCTGCCCTGGATGACCAGTGAGGGGAGGTTCTGGGGTGCGCTGAGGTCCGGTAGAATGATCTGCGTCTGGGTGTGATGCATGACACTGAGGAAGTGAGCTCCGTTCTGCCCCAGCAAGAAGAGATGCTGCTGCGAGGTGACATCCAGCTGGCTGGTCACAACGCTCCCTGTTACCTCTGAACCCACGAGCAGCTCCATCAGAACACAGGTCGCCTTCTGCCACGTAATACATGGGAACACGTTGCCGTGCTTACAGCTGGTGTGTGTTCGTAGATGCTTACCGCACTGACTGTGTCACACTGACCTTAACGGCAGGGGTGTTACCCTGCAGGCCCCACACTGTGCAACAGCTCCCAAAGAAGGCAGGCTGAGCCTGAGGCTGCGGTGGTACCGTTCTGAAGCTCACACTCACCCCTAACGTCTGCACCACCTGCTGGATGAGAGGTGAGTTGGCATCTGGCAGGGGCTGAGGGGCCAGGCTGACAGGCAGGTCAAAGGTTAAAGTCAGTGGCTGCAGATCCTAGCACATAAACAAACAAAAAAAAACAGAATACAAAAGAAAAGAAAGATGATGAAGTGGATGAGTTGATGTCAGAAAAAGACACGTTGAACCCTTTTGCCAAATACTGCAATCGGCACCACTTTATGGCTATGTAATTGTGGGTCAGGTGTTGTATTTATTATTCTATTGATCTGTGAGTCCAGACGGAAATGAAAAAAAATATCCTGGGAAAATTAAAAGTAAATCCATAAGTACACTCAAATTATAAGTACTGTAGTCCTATTTGTGGCTGGCCACTTTCCAGCAAGGCCTTTTCTGTGGCCTTTAAAGTGTCAGAAGCACTGATCTTCATTCACAACCTAATTGCTCATATTTGTGCCATGGAATGAAAGTAATTTATTCACAGTAGTCTATTTCCTTCATTTCATAATGTTTGTCTTGGTTGCGATGCTTCCAGTACAACGCTAGATTTCGTCATACTGTGTATAATGGAACTGTTCTATCGTTGACAGGGCTGTCGTTGTGCTCATTGGCCGCCCTCCCTCTCCTGGCTGCTCAACCTCTCTATCCTGTCTATCTTCCCCTCTGGGACAGAAGTCGATACACTCTGTCTACTCTATTCCATCTACACTGTGTCTATCTCAAACCAATCGGCCAAGGCAGGCTTTTGCTCCCCAAAACATGATTTCTGTTTCATGTTTCTTCCTTAAAGGGACTTTTTTCCTGGCTTCCATCAACAAGTGTTTGTTCATGTGGGATTCAGTTGGTTTTCTTAAATACAAACTGTATATATGTTTCAGTAGTGAGGTTTTTGACCTGCTCATGGTGTCAAGGGCCTTGAGATAACTTCTGTTGTGATTTGGTGCTCTTTCAACGCAACTGACTTCACTTGATTTGACGAGAATTTTAATCTACCTCGGGCATTCAAAATCTGTTGTACTGTATATTAGCAATAAGACTGTTTCCTCAACAAATCCGGTATCAATTTCCTCTCTTGAGGGCCAGCTTGATGACATCAGTGTTCTTCCCTCCCCTGTTTGGTTGGTCAGAGCAAAACTCGTGAGTATGTTTTGACTTCACTGAAGGCCCAGCTACTAAATGCACAGCCGGCCACTTAATGGACCACTCACTCTAATTCTCCTCCTGGCGTCTTCCACTCCCTCGATGGGTCCAGCAATTGACACCTGGTAATAGTAAAAAGGAAATTTCGTTTTCTTTTCTTTTATAAAGGTGATTGTCTCTCTTAATTGATTCCTTTGGTTCCATACGCATACCTGGTTGCTTTTCTCCCCTGCAGCGTTGTGGCGGTTGGAGTCTGGGAAATGGATATGACAGGAAGTGACTTCCATTACCTTCTTGATGTTTCCGCCACCTTTGCCAATCACATGGGAATGCTCTGTGTAAGCCACGTCCATTTTGAGGGTCACCTTGTTTACCTGAGTATTTCAATGCAATCAAGACTTCATTCCACATCGCCACTTATATAAGTATACTAAGTGTGCTTAATATTACAATAAGTACCCGAGTTTCGAGAACTTCTAGAATCTTCTTTTTGGCTTGCAAAACATTGGCTTTCTTCCCTTCCACCTTCACATGTGGGTCTGCAAGAGGTAACAGCTCAGTGTGATATCATCTATAATCTAAAATTGTGCCATGTAGTTTCACTGGAAAGGGATTGATATGGAAATGAACAGGGAACAACAGAAAGGATCAAATTATAGGATGTGAGTGACATCAAGAATCTGCAACCTTTCTTTGACTTGGCTCCGATCTTCAATTTGGAAGGCCATTTCACCTGAGTGTCAGTTTCTTTCATCACCTGTGAAGGCCGAAACAATGAGGAGAGTGAAAAAGAGCTGTGAAGAGGGAGTAAGCCGTCTGTCACCGTAGGCCTCGAGAATATTTGCAGCGTGTACAGATTCTTAGAATACAAAGGCCCATTTGCATTTCAAAGATTGTAATCATGACACCGAGGACACCTGTTATCACAGGATTTTTTCACAGAGGTGCACCAATCCGTCAGCCATAAGTACTCACTCAAGTTTATGCACCAATGTTAGCAATGGTCACTTCTGAGTAGGAAACTTTCATTTGTTTTGTCTTCCGAATGAAATGTTGCACGTTTGATGTGTGACTTACTCTCTCAAAAAACTCCTCGCCTGTCATAGCATCTCCAACCCTTGGAGCTGCAACAAACACAGTTAAAATAAACGCAAACAAAATGAAACAGATTTAAATCACTAGAAATCACCGCGGTCCCGTCTTTCGGGATCAAGCAAAGACCGATATCAATATACACTTGTTAAGAAATGGATATAATTTTAGAAAGTGCAAGTACTGCAAGAATTCAAGTTGTACAAATGAAGAGATCAACCACTGTCACGTTTTTTTTTTGTTTGTTTTTTTAATCAACTTCATTCACACGACCGTTACCATTCTGCCATACAAAAAATAAATGGTATTCATTTGTAAATGTGTCGTACTTGCGTACATATTGGCTTAGCAGGATACATTACATACATACCGTGTATAAAATCATCCATCCATTTTATGTAAATCCTGTTCAGTCACAGCTGAGTTGGAACTATCTAAGACAACACCCAGGAATGGTCACTCGTCATTCACAAGGAAGAAATAGACACCCGTTCAATTGCACATTCATATAGTCACTGGGTGAGAACTGAACCCAGAATGAATACAGTCAAGTCAGTCGAATTAACCACTACACCATCAGTGACCTAAATACTGTAGTACATCTACACTCTTTTAGTAATTTCAGTAAAATACGTTTTATTTAAATTGGAACGTTTTAAATTATTCTGTTTTTGTTTTCTTCTTTGCTTTAATTGGCGTACATTATTTTGGTGACAAATTTAAATGTTATTTTTTTTAAATTACGGTATGTAACGATGAAGAACATTGAGTTACTTAAATGCACTATATAGGCAAAGCTACCTTGCCTTGGAAAAAAAAATAAATAATAATAATAATAATTAAATTGAATTAAACTTGGCAGTAGAAGAGTTGAGAGTTGTTTTCCATTTTTGTTTATACTTTTCGAATAAATTCTTCCAGACTGCAACTCTCCAAACAGCTTTTTAATGTTGACGTTAGCCAAGCAACTGGCACAAAAGGAATGAGAAATTGCTTGGAACATAAACAATTTTAAAAGGCCACGTCTCCGCTGTGACATTTACAGGGTTGGGGGTAGTGCCTGGACAGCCTACCCACCATCACTAAGGGTAACTCTTGCGAGAGCTGAGGAATGGCTAGAGAATAGTATAGGGTCAAGAGAGGAGGTGGCAAAGATTGGGGGCGGTGGGGGCCCACAAATTAGCCTGGAAACGGCTAATGACGCCAATGACATTTAGTGACGCAAATATGTCCCAATCAACCACAAAAAATAGACCACAAATACAAAACTGAGAAGTTTTGTGTAGAAAAATCCACTCAAGCACCTCACATTCAAAGAGAGGACAATCTAACGAGATACAGTATTTACAGCCTTACTGAGGCTGTTCAAACACAATAAAGTATCACAGCAGAATTCATTCAGTCCATGGAGAGTCTGTGTCAAAAACAAAGCGATGAGTGTACTTAAGTAAAAGTACAGATGCCAGTGTAAAAGAAAAAAAAAGTATTGGTTCAAGTCTTGTTCCCAAGTAAAAGTTAACAAACAGAAAGTATTTGTACTTCGTTACTTCCCACCACTGCAAATGTATAGCGGTGACACAATGAATCTCCACAGTGGCACAGTGGAGGCATTCGTCATAAAGCCGCCAGGCTGAGATAAATAATGGCGGCAGTTACGTCCTCATCCCAGACAGGCATGATAATAGCAATAAGACTTATGAATGCATCACCCGTTGGGTGTCATTAATCATTCATGATAATACCTGTACATGACTTTCCTGCATGGATGGTGGCAACAAGCTGGAGGCTTTGAGAGACTCGCGGTACAGCATTTAGGCTGGCCGCAATAAAAAATCTCCTTCGATTAACCTCCAGGCCTTGTGCAATGTTGTTTATGGCCCTTTTTGACAAGGCGCAGACAGTTTGTAATTTTGCATTTTACGTTAATTTATAACTAACATCAGTTCTCGTCATTATTATGAAATGTCCCCCACTTTTATTCAGCGCACAGATGCTTAAACTTCCTAAATTAAAAGGTAAGTCCTCTCCATGGTCAGCAGAAGTTATCTCCACTTCTTATTTCCACTCCTATTATCACATGAACTTACTCCCTTGTCTGAAAATGGATTAATGATTGACTGTAATCTGATGATAATAATAATAATACGAATAACCATGTACAGCACTTTGTATGCAGCGATGGCTGTTTGAAAGTGCTCTATAAATACAGTGGAGTTGAGTTGAGTTGAGAATCAACATCATCATCATAATGAACGGCACGGTGATCGACTGGTTAACACGTCCGCCTCACAGTGCAGAGGTGCGGGGTTTGATTCCGGCTCCAGCCTTCCCATGTTGAGGTTGCATGTTCTCCCCGTACCTGCATGGGTTTTCTCCGGGTAATCTGGTTTGCTCCTACATTCCAAAAACATGCATGGCAGGCTAATGGAACACTCTAAATCGTCCCTAGGTATGAGTGTGAGCAAGAATGGTTGTTCATCTATGTGCCCTGGGACTGGCTGGCAACCAGTTCAGGGTATACCCCGCCTACTGCCCGAAGACAGCTAGGATAGGCTCCAGCATGCCCGTTACCCTTGTGAGGAAAAGCACATTAGAAAATGGATGGATGGAATCATAATTATCATCGAAAAAGAACAAATTATATGATTCAGTCCAGTCAGAAACAAGGAGTTGAAATCATGGTTTTCATGGGTTTCAATTGGCCAAAAATGGCCATGATAGAACCAAAAGGTTACATACAGTATAAAGTAGACAGTGATGCTCTGTGACTTTAATTTCATTCATTCCACTACCACGCTTACCACTGAAAACACCTTGTCTCAAATCAGTGTTGAGTCAATGGAATCCGTTTTACCCTCACCAAAAATACATTAATTTTTGTAATGTGTTTTTCATCAGAAAAATGACTCAATCATTTTACTTAAAAACATACAGAAATGACATTAATTTAAATGCACACGGCTTTTGCATATTGCCCAAAATTGTGTTAAAATTGTGTGATATGTGTTGACTCACCATATAACATGGTCTCCAATTTCTTCCTATTGATCCTGAATCTCTCCTCCACCCACTCCGGCTCCACACTCTGACCTCGAGCATTCTCCTGCCCTGGTGCTGTTTGCTCTTCCTCTTCTTCATCCTCTCTCTCACAACAGGCCTCGCTGGGCTCAGGCTTTGCTGCTGAGTCCGGTTCTACGTTAGTTTCCAGGTCAGGCTCCGATGGTGCTACGGCGCCCTGGGCGGGAGAGCTCTCCTCTGGGCTGGTGGTGTTGGCCATAGCAGGACTGGAGTCCTCGTCTGTGTATATATGTGTGTTTGTGTCTATGTATGTGTGAGGATGTATGTGACCAAGTAAAAGAGAAGAGAAGGAGGGAAGAAAAAGGGGGGACCCCCCACCCCCTTGGTTCCCCCACCCCCTTAGTTCACGAATTTAACCTCTCTCTCTCTCTTTCTTCAAGCAGTGTGAGAGCCAACAATGCACTGACTGGGATCTGTAATCGAGGGCAGTCGGTCAGCACAGGTCATATCTCCTCTCGCTGAGGGGCTCCAAACACACACTACAACAATCTAATAAATCCTCAATAATCTCTATATCAGTGTTCCTCATGTCAAGGACTTTGGCAAGTTACACTTCACACAGATACACACACACGTTGAAAGCACCCTCACAACTGGGCTCACAGCTAACAAAATAATCATGGTTTCCTGATCCTGGGGGTTCTTCGACATCTGCCAATTTTCCCTTCACACTGAGTCAACGTTACAAAGTTTCAATGCAGTTTCCTGCACATATTCACAGTGCTTAACAAATTTATTAGACCATCACTCAATATAAGGTTTCTGCATAAAATAATAGCAATGGTAATTACCATTAACTTTTAAAAAAATAATAAGTTTCTGTAATACAAAGTACTGAATGCACCATATGATGGTATTCATCAACAAATTTACAATTTAAATTTATAATTTACAAAAGAAAATGGAAAAACATAACTAAAACAATATGATTTATTGATTCATGATGCCAAATCATCGTGAATATTATGCTTGATTTATTTGCGACATCTCAGATAAATTCCGTTTGAAATTTCTCATTCCTGTAGATCTTACTGAATTTGAAGGAGTCCACACAAAGGGGGACATACTCATTCTTTTCCACTGTTTAAAACCGTTTCCAAGGTTCCATAATAAAGGTCTCTGACATTCTTTGGTCAAAATACCACAAATGATAAAGAGTCACAACATTTACTTGGAATACTCCGGTCGAAAATTACTCGGTTTTGCAATTCTGTCTCATGCAAATAAACCACTGCTCACCGTTTGTTTTGTGGGACCAATGGACTTGGGCTTCACCAAATCATAGAATTAATCTTGTCACTAGGGTGCCCATATGTGCATGTGGCAATGGACACGTCAAACACAAACGCCTCACTGTGTTATTTACAGTATAAAAAAATAATGATTGGTTGAAGCTCACAAGGTAGTTTCATTAATTTGTGTTTTTAGTTCCTTTTAACACGTTCTTGAAACTCAGCTCTGGCCTTCTGCTTGGAGTTTGCATATTCTGCCCATGCTTTTTCTATATGACTATATAGTTATTCTGTATTTATGTTTCGGCCCAATGCATAAGGTTATTTTTTTAGTTTTTATGAAAAAAAACAACACTTATATAGAAAATACTATATGTGACTTCAGTATATTTAATAATGATGCTGATTATATTGCAGTTAAAAGTCTTGTTGAGTATAGACAGGCAGTTTAAAGGCTTCAGTGACAAGTGAAGATGGCTTAAATTAACCATACTTACAAACTATACTTACTATTCTAATAAACTACAAATTAATGTTACAGGGGTCTGGGCGCGTAGTGTCATAGGTGGTATATTGAGAGTCTTAATTTGTGGGAGTGAAATCTATCCAACCTAAACTGGTTGCCAGCCAATCGCAGGCCACACATAGATGAACAACCATTCACACTCACAGTCACAATTTCAGGTAATCTACCATGCATGTTTTTGGAATGTGGCAGGAAAGGGGAGTACCCTCGCAGACCTGGGGAAAATATGCAAACGCCACACAGGAAGAATGGGGCCTGGAATCGAACCCAGCACCTCCTGTACTTTTGAGGTGGACGTGCTAACCAGTTGATCACAGAGTGCCATTCTTGCGAGAGTGAAATGCCGTCATATTTTTTCTTTCCTCAAGAAGAAAATAGGTGAAGGACATGATGGTGGTGATGGTGTATCACCATGGCAACCAGTCAAGAAGATGGCTATTCAAAGTTAATCTGAATTCAAAGAGACATGCCGTTGATCTCTGTCAGCCTGGAAGTGTGGGTTACATTTCAGGCACTTGCATGTTTGACACTGCAAAGCAATGACAAGATCTCCTGATGGATGGATGAATAGATGGATGGATTGGCTGATATTTCTACAACAGTACATATTCTAATAATTTGGAAATATTAAAATTCACAATTGAGCATTTTGCTCTTTGTCGGTATTGTGTGGACACTAGTGTCCATTTGAAAGACGTCATTGTACGTGTCATTTCTTCACCACGAGGTGACGCTTTTGCACCACCACGCAGACGTTTTCGATTGCATCAACCACTTCCGGGTTGCTCCTCACTGCACTCGTGACTTTTGTTTGAGTGCAGTTTGTTGACATGGACCTACCCTGCAACGAAAGACATTTCTGCTTTGGGTCCGAATTATGAGACCATGAACGTTCCTCGGCGGTGGAAGCTCCCGTAAGAAGAGCCATGTGGAGAGTAAAAGGACTCGCCTGGAGAGGTAAGACGAAAGTGTTGTGCACCATCATGGAAACTTCTGGAGTGACGCCGACATTTGGCCTCCTGTTTATTTTGGTCACTGTAAGTTTAAGAGCTCGTTCAGTCTTTTCTAATGTGTTGTATTCAAATTATATATAACCTTAAAGGTTGGCTTTTGTGTTTTCCCTGTCGTATATGGTATCCAGGATCAGAAAATGGCCCAAATTGTAAAGATTGGCAGTTATTAAAATTCTCATGCCTTTGCTTTAATGTTATATTAACGAGAGGATAAAGGGCAATAATTTATTTGTTAAACATTATATATTAAAGCTGAACTGTCTTGTTATATAACTGTACTTTTTTTCTTTTTTATTTAAGCCATAATGGAAACGTGAATAGTCAAAGTGGTAGTGTTGATTAATTAAGATAATTAGACATATTTTTAAATATTCATGTCTGAATACAAGTTTGTGATTTTTAGCCTCTTCAAACAAATCGTTCAGATCGTCATAAACAATACAATTGGCTAATGGTTGCTCCAGAAACCTCCAGATTTCTTCAGTAATGGAAACATCGGTTTGTATGCTTGGAATGAACGTTTCTTTCTGCTCATGTGATTGCAGTGCTGCATAGATACCACACCAACAACGCACTGCGTCTCCCCCAGAATCACCATGTAGAAGATGAGGTGATCAACACCTCCACTGTTCTCTCCACCCCGAGAACTTCCTCTGACAGCAGGTAAATTCACATTCACAAGAAGCCCTGTTAGACCTTTCATGGTTTCACTTGTCTCCTGGCCATATCGGCGTTCCGATTTAAAGAATACAGACAAGAGTGCTTGTTTGATTAACACTGTGTGAGCGTTAATGAACCAGTGTCCTACTCCATCCACATATCACCACTGATTTAACCCATTGAAACTTTAAAAGATTCACCAAAAAAAAGTACCAAGTGGGATTACTTTCCATCCATTCATTATCCAAACTGTTTACCCTTTCACATACCAGAAATGTCCAGTTTTCACAGAATTTCAAATTATTACACCTCAAAAAATAACACCATGCAAGTGAATTAGACATTCAACAAAAAATTTGCTCACCTTTCCCAATCCCACATTTAAACTCCAAAACTCATTCAGAACATCCTAGGAAGTATTTTTTGTGTTCTTAGAACAAGACACTTCACAGTAAACTTCACCAATGTTCACAACACATTTCCGAAATTTAATAAATGTTTTCAATAATTACTTCCTCCTTTCACATTTCTCGTCAATTTAAATCATTCTTACTTCAAACTGTTTGGATAATTCAGGACATCTTGGGCTCTATGGCATTTCTCCAATAACATTTCCAGTTGGGAGATATGGAGCATATTTGTCTCCTGCGGTCACCGATGGTGTGGCGGTGCACTTAGCCAACCGACGTGTGTGCAGGTAGTGTGGGTTCAGGTCACCCTTCAGTGACAATGTGAATGTGAGTATAAATGGTTGGTTGTTTCTGTGTGTGCCCTGCGACTGACTGACCACCACTTCAGGGTGTAATCTGCCTTTTGCCTGATGTCAGCTCGGATCGGCTCCAGCACCAGTGCGAACCAGAACAGGATAAACGATGTTGAAAATGGATGGATGGATGTCTCCTTCTGCATTTCTTGGTTGATTCAAACCATTCCAACTTTATGCCATGTTCAGTAACTCAACAATGCAATTAACTCCACAGCATTTCAGCTAAGAAATACGTATTTCTACAAAAATTGCATTTACTAGTTTAACAATATCTTTATTATGTATTTTTGCAGAGGTGTTCCGAATATTTTGCTCCTCGTATGTTACAAAGTGGACTTTTTTTTTTTTTTAATGTCTTTCAGCTCCCATAAAGAGGAGGATGGCGGGAGGAGGAAGAAACAGCGGGCCTTTAAATTCCATTCCACGGAGCTTCCTCATTACACAGCTCTCGATGCAGTGGGATGGGTATGTCTTTCTCTTTTTAGGAACCTCTTATTGATGTGACTGCGTATAATCTCATATATATATA